ATAATTTTATGAAAATAATGATGATGTTTTCATGATCATTTTTATGAAAAAAATTATGAATATTTTAATGAGTTTAAAAATATTAAATTGGATGTTTCGTAATAATTTTTATGAATATGAAGAATTTTATTCAATTTTTAAGAATTTTGAAAACTAGTATATGAAGAACTTTTGCCTGGACATCAGTGCTAGCTGTGAAAGTTTCCAAAACTGACTTAAATATACTTCTGTTGTATATTTTGTAAATCTAGAGGAAATCTATTAAATGGAATGTTGAAATTGACTTTCTGTATCAGACTAGAGTTCATCAGCTCAAATGCACTGATTTTGCCGTCTGTTTTATAGTTATTCTTTTGTCAAAGAAGGTTTTTGAAGTATTGTGCTTTACAACAATGAAATGATTTAAATTATTAATTCTTAAAAACTAGTTGAAACGAATGATACATATTTGATGATTTGTTGGTTCAGAGATGCAACTTTGAGTGCTCGAAATATTTTTCCTTTGTGTGCATGACATAAGTTTTTGTTTGGTTTGAATCCTAAGAGAAAACTCTAAAATTATTTAGGTGAGGCAAAAAAGAAATGGAATGTCCTTCTCTTCCTTTGTTTTGTGAATAAAAAATATATGCCCTGCATTGTGCAGTGAGGGAAAATCTAGATTTTTGATTGGTAACAGAAAGAGTAAAAAAGAGTAAAAGCCAATAAAAAACCATTTACATGGATCTGTATCCATTAAAAATCTTAGTATATATTTACAAAATTTAGCCAGACAGAATATATTAAAGGTCTCATCAGGCAAATGATCAGAGTGCATACAGTTCAAATTCAATTCTCCAGATGTGTTTTTGTCTTGAGTTATAATCTTTTCTTGTCTCTCTCTATATAATAGTTTGGTTATTTTTCAAAAGAAGTGCATTGTAAAAGAATTTTACAATATGTAGAATATAAATTTGCCACAGTCTCCAATCTTTGAAAGGGATTAAAAGTAGATTTCATTGGATATGTGTGACGTGTGTAGATACAGCGTATTGCATTTTGTTTGTTGAAACATTTTTGATATGCATATATTCATACTTTATGGAAATATCTATGATATTTGTCATTTACATGTATATGTTATCCAATTTGGAGAGAAATAATAGATGAAGACTGGCTACCGCCAATACATTCAATCGTGTATGATAATTGAATTGATACATATTAAGGATAATTAAAGATACTCAAACAATGTATTAGTTGGAATTATACAATTACAACATGTGTACTAATTTATAACAATCAGTGATATCAAGTATTGTAATAAAATAAGCTTGGATACATTTATATACATGTAACATTAAAGAAGACTTATGTATACTAAAACACGAACACATTTGTAACAATCAATGATAGATATACCTAATACTGTAATAGAATAAAAAGCTTGGATACATTTATATACATGTAGCATTTAAAACGACACATGTATACTAAAAGAACATATTTGTAACAATCAATGATAAATATACCCAATACTGTAATAGAATAAACAGCATGGATACATTTATATACATGTAACATTAAAGAAGACACATTGTACTGAAACATATTTGTAACAATCAATGATAAATATACCTAATACGGTAATAAAAAAAAAAAACAGCTTGGATACATTTATATACATGTAGCATTAAAGAAGGCACATTTGTAACAATCAATGATAGATATACCTAATACTGTAATAGAATAAAAAGCTTGGATACATTTATATACATGTAGCATTTAAAACGACACATGTATACTAAAAGAACATATTTGTAACAATCAATGATAAATATACCCAATACTGTAATAGAATAAACAGCTTTGATACATTTATATGTAACATTTAAAGAAGACACATGTATACTAAAACACATTTGTAACAATGAATGAGTTACCCAATACGCTAATAAACAAAACCAGCTTGGATACATTTATATACATGTAACAGTTTTAGACACCAACCCGGATTTGTCACAATCAACAACCATCAGACACTCCAGCGAACTCCACTGGATCATTAGATTGAAAACTTTCCAACTTCACGGAATCAATGACAAAATCTGAACTCTGGTACTCTTTCTTGTTTTCTACATTTCTTCTCCTGGGTACCTCACTTCGGATTTTACGCTAGCCTACTCGCCCTCTCACTCCCCCCATCTCGGTACACACCACTCCACCCCCCACTGTTCCCCCAAGGCATGGCACACCCACTTGCCTCCTTTTCCTTAAGACTCACACCCTCTCTCCTTTTTCCCAACCAAAATAACCCCCCTTTTATTTTTGGCCCGGTGCCCCGCCAACCCCGGCGACCCTGCCAGCTCCGGTGGCCCCGCCAACCCCAGTACAGGCTACCGGGGTCGAACAGTATATAAGGCAGGTCCTGCCAAGTGAGCTTTCATCAGTCTGAAGAGTTCCAAAACGAACGAAACTAGTCACTGAAAATATAGGAATAACTGGTCTATTAAGCCAACCTTATCTCCTCTACATGTAACAGTTAATGAAGACACCTGTAAAACTTTTGTGATTAGCAGACATTTTGTACTACAATGAATGATATAATTGCTCTAAACTGTAATAGAAAAAACGGCTTGGATACATTTGAAAATATATGCAACAATAAAAGAAGACACATGTATACAAACACACAATGAATGATACATGTACCTGATACTGTAATGAAATAAAGAGCTTTAATACATTTATATATGTAACAACTCAAGATGATACATGTATTGTAACACATTTGTAACAATGAATGATATGTTTGATACAGCATGAATACATTTATATATGTACCGGTAACAACTCAAGACGATACATGTATACTATAACACATTTGTAACAATGAATGATACATTATGTACTTGATACTGTAATGAAATAAAGAGCTTGAATACATTTATATATGTATCAACTAAAAAAGATACATGTATACTATAACACATTTGTAACAATGAATGATACATGTACTTGATACTTTATTGAAATAAAGAGCTTGAATACATTTATATATGTATCAACTTAAGACAGTACATGTATACTATAACACATTTGTAACAATGAATGAAAGATTTGTCTTGAAATGCAAACTAAAAGCAGACAAAAGTAGAGATAGAAAATAAACCTAAGTATTTATTGAATTTCAATTTTCTGCGCTCCATCTACTTGTCTGGTTGTTAAAGAAGGATTTCAAGCAAATGACTTTTTAATTATTCAATGTCTGCCACAATTCTAATTATATAGTCGACATTTTCTAGGAATAAAAATCAGTATAATAATGTGTTGGAGGTTGTCTGGAATGTTTATTTATATTGCTATATTTCATCTCATGCCGGATGTTCTTGTCATTTCAGGGAAACAGTGGAGACTAAATCGCCAGTGGAAGATGTGCGAATGGTATCACCTGGCGTTTGTATGACCTCACATCATTCAATGATGGTCAATAACATCCACATACAGGCTCCCACCTCCACCACACACGACGGGCGTGGTCGAGAAACTAAGTTTATTCCCCCACTAGAACCACAGAATTCTATGCTTATAGATCCACAATTAAAGAGACAAAATACACCACCTGGAAAAAACGGTAAATACAAACAGGTTTCTTATTTTTTTTAATATTTTTATCATGAACTTTGATCAGAAAGAGAAAAAAAGGTGCACCTATGACAACTGCATGAGTCAATATGTCCAAAAGTCAACCAACTTAATGGGTTTATGAATTAAAATATAGGCCTGTCTTCATTCTTACTCAAGATAACATAGCAAGTATTTTGCAAATCTTATGATGCAGTTTTGATCAAAAAGAAATTATTTACAGTAACACTTCATAAATGGCAGTACAGGCATATTCTTACATTGAATGTACTTTTACTATTACTACCATAATCAATGGCAATTTTTTAAAATGTTAGTTATGCACTTTAAATTAACGCACTGGCTATTTGCACAGTCATGATGCGTGTTCGATGCGTGTTTGTAGTATGAACAGGTAATTTCCCTCTGCCATGTCAGACATATTATTACAGTTATTGTTTTCCAGGAAACTAAATCTGATTAACAAAAAAAAAAACAAATCTGTCATCAGTCCAATCTATTAGATTTTGAAATACAATACATGTGGCAAATCTCTTGATTTTTAAACACATGCAGTACTTTACAAATTCTTGATTTTTAAACACATGCGGTACTTTAAATACTCTTGATTTTTAAACACATGTGGTACTTTACTCATGATTTTTAAACACATGCGGTACTTTAAATACTCTTTATTTTTTAACAAATGCGGTACTTTACAAATTCTTGATTTTTAAACACATGCGGTACTTTAAATACTCTTGATTTTTAAACACATGTGGTACTTTACTCATGATTTTTAAACACATGCGGTACTTTAAATACTCTTTATTTTTTAACAAATGTAGTACTTTACAAATTCTTGATTTTTAAACACATGCGGTACTTTAAATACTCTTGATTTTTAAACACATGTGGTACTTTACTCAAGATTTTTAAACACATGCGGTACTTTAAATACTCTTGATTTTTAAACACATGTGGTACTTTACTCATGATTTTTAAACACATGCGGTACTTTAAATACTCTTGATTTTTAAACACATGTGGTACTTTACTCAAGATTTTTAAACACATGCGGTACTTTAAATACTCTTTATTTTTTAACAAATGCAGTACTTTTAAATAATCTTGATTTTTTACACATGCGGTACTTTAAATACTCTTGATTTTTTAGATTTTTTACACATGCGGTACTATAAAATACTCTTGATTTTTTAGATGTTTCTTCAAGATTCTTGATTTTAAAGAATATGTATTGAAATATTTTGGGAAGGTATTACAATGTCTTGATTTACAGAAGGTGGTCTCTTGATTTGATATTTGGGACAATGGACAAGAACATCTTGGATTAAATATACCTGACAAAATTTGCCATCAAGGTAACAACATCTTGATTAATGACATTATTATGTTATCTAGGAAATGGCACACCATCTAAAGTATGTCAAGTATGTAATGATAATGCCTCAGGATTTCACTATGGGGTGTGGTCCTGTGAGGGCTGTAAAGCATTCTTCAAAAGAAGCATACAAGGTGAGTACTTACAACTTGTTTTTGCTCACAGATTTAGTTAATCTTGATTTCACAAAAGGGGAGATATGAAAGCCAAAATATTCATATTCATTGTCATATCAGTAAACCAAACAATCATACAGCACCCCCTTCTGACCCAGCCAGAGGTAAAATGTGTTTTTGTTGAAACTTACAATAATATGCTGTGATGTTCGAAAACAGAAAAAAAAAATTTGACTGTTCCAAAAAACTTTTGCACTGGTGAATAAAACTTTGTACCCTGCTTGATATAGGTGAAAATTCATTCCTTGTTCAGTTCCCTTGACCAAGTAACAATAGCATAATATATATTATGCACATAGTAGGAATTTCAGGTTTTTTTCAGTAATGTTACAAAAGCACAGAAAATCAGGCACAGGCATATTTTAGGTTGTATAGTAGGCTTATATTTTGTAATGATAAATTACTACAGTAGAAATATTTTCCAAAGAGCCTATAATTAAATAGTGCTATTATAGAAGATGTTTGGAAGCTATTGCAGAGCTAATGTAGCCAGAAACCCACAATAGTCTAAACCAGCTGTTGAGGTCAGCTGAAAATAGCCAGTAAATAATATTGACCAATAAGTACATAACACTAGCCAATAACTGTTGGCCTGTGACCTATATCACTATACAAACATGTGTAGCTCTACCATTGATAGAATGTGGAATTAGGCCAAGCTGACCTATTTATTGATAGAGGAGGTTTGGAAAAACATCACATGACCTGAAAACCTGTGGTACATACTAGTAGACCAGGAGAAGTGTGCTAGGGTTGGTTTATTAGAGGTTACACTCTCTTTATTCTTAGCACATACAGCTAACCTAGGACCAACCGACCAGCCTTAAACAGACAGTTAAATCACATTATGTCTTTAACTACAGAGGCCATCTTGGTTTTATCTCAAATCTTGATTGTGGACTTGATGAAAAGGACTTAATTAGGGTAATTGTATTCAAATTATAATTTCTTGACCATTACTTTGATTTGTGTTTTTGCCAATTCCTTGAATGACAGCTTTCAGAAGATGCATACTGCATAGGTAACAACTTGTCCAAGATCCAAATTTGATATTGAATTTTTTTTTTCTCGAATTTTAGAATTTTTTTGAAGACAATGTAAATGTAGATATACATGTTTCAGATGTAATGTAGGGCCTACATATGTTGTCAAATTTTTTTTCTTTATCTTTGTATTTTTTCCAATTCCTTGAAAGACAGCTTTCAGAAGATGCATATACCATAGGAAACAACATTTCCAAAAAGATCCAAATTTTATTTTTGTAATTTTAAGGCAATTTTCAAAGCAATGTACATTTATATATACAATTTTCAGATGTAATATACATATGTTGTCAAATTTTTTTTTTCATTTATTTTAATTCTTCCTTAAATATTGCTATTTTTAGTAAGCCATCAAATGAAATAGGATCCAATATACTGCCAAAAAATTCAGAAATATTAAATTTTGAGGTTTAATTTTTTTCTTAATTTATGGTGTCAATAAGTTTAAAAACAACGAATGGCCAAAATTTTTGATCATGGACAATGTTTCGATTTTTCCATTTAAAACTTAAAACAAATTTTGCATTGCACAATCATACATTTAAGTAAGAAAAACCTTGACACATAGATGTGTACATGGATGGGAACATGTACATGCTTTTGGTTATTCAGTACATTTCCTTTTCCTTGCTTCAACCAAATGATTTATTGACTTGTTTGGTGTCACAGTCCAGTAAGTTTATAGGCTGTCCCAGTAAACATGTTTTTTTAACCTAGATAGTTAAATCTATCAGTATATGTAAGAGGTGATATACAATACCTTTTTTTTATTCCTGTTTTTTATTAAGGTTAGAATATTTACTATGCTACATCTTGATGTTGCCAATTGGAATGGTTTATCAAAAATAGTGAATTTGGCATATGGAAAATCATAAAAAAATTTCTAACATCCTCAAAAATTTGAATGTTCCTCTAAACTGCTTTAACCATGGTGCCAATGCCTTCCATTGAATAGTAACTTGATAAGTAACAACCCTAATCTCTGATGCCTGTGCCAGCGCTTTCAAGAGTCAGCCCGGTGTCATCTTTCACCCACTAATACGTAATTTCTACTTAAACTTGTAAGGATCTTAATTAAAATATTTTAAATTACCTGATTTCAGACTCAAATTAAAAGAAAGTACTACAGAGATACTGGTTCTAAGACATTTTTTATTAAAAAATCTCACAAATCTTTATTGCTGAAAAGATGTACCATTTTGTAAAAGAGACATTATTTCAAATAGATATATATTAAAAATAAACATCATAGTGATATATATATATATAGACTGTTTAAAATGGATGCCGTGTTGACGTATTTTGCATGGATTCAAATGTAACATTTCACTTGCACCAACAACCATGACTGATTTCTTTTGTTCAACATTGCAAGTAACAGACTGTTACAGGCACTTAAAAGCTCTCAACATTAATATATTCCATAAAGTGTTCCGTAACTTAAATAATCATAGAGCAGAAAAACTGACTTTGGATGTATTTATACAGTCTAATTAAAATTAGACCAAACTTTTGTTCCGTTTTTTTTTAGCTTTTATTTCTATTATAGCCACTTCTAAAGGCGGTTTTCTGGAACATTCGTCTGTTTGATGACACTTTCAGCCAATTAAATTTGTGACGCAAACAAAATGTTGGTTCTAAGAAGCATTAGACACTGAATCCAAACTTCGGAGAGGGAAGGAATTTGATTGGCTGATGGTGTCATCAAAGTTTGATGATCAAATAGAAAAGCGTTCAAGAAAGCTTTCTTTGGACCTTAAGTGGGGTGGCTATATTAAAAATAAACGTTAATAAAAAAAGGAACGAAAGTATTTATTCAGCAGTACTAGAGCATTTCAAACTGCTCAAACCTTAAACCGTTAAATACTCTCTTCAGTATTTTTAGATTTTTTGATGCGTATCAGCATGTGAAACATTGAGGTAATGATTCAGAACTAGTATATCTATATACTGTGTGCTTCTGTACTAGGAGGTTATCAGACTCTGACAGCTGCGAATTTATGGATCATCAGAAAATGTTCTACTTTATCTTATCAGAATGATTGTTTTTGCTATTTATGTCATAATACAAACAAACAAACAAACATGTCTTAGCAGCATTGAGAGTTGAGCTCTAGTCAATTAGGAACAGTCTATTTTATTACATGGCAGGTCAAAAAGCAGATTATTAATAAGATTTAAATACAAGTTCTGAGTTACAGTGCTCATTTTAACTACCTCATGGAAAAGTGGACTTTTTTGAATGGGCATAGATATCTGTCCTGTACACAGCTAACAGAATTAATAGTTTCACTAAATTTTATTCCTTTTCATGACTACTATTAGCTCTTTTAAATAAAAGGTGAGGAAGGACCATTAAAGACTTAAGCCTCCTCCTAAATTGAAGAACACATCTTAAGTGCTTTATACACAATTTTGCAAAATTATTGATCATAGTTTCTTTTCAAAACATCCATGCCTAAATGACTTTCCCCAAACTTCCAGAAGAAAAAATGTTTGTATTTTTTGCTGACTTTGGACTTGTTTTCATTTCAGGCCCGGTTGATTATGTGTGTCCAGCAACAAATAACTGTACAATAGACAAACATAGACGTAAAAGTTGTCAAGCTTGTCGTTTGAGGAAGTGTTATGAAGTAGGAATGAATAAAGGTTAGTATCCATCATTTACTTGGAACATTGCCAGAACTGAAAACCTGGATTGACATGATTTTGTCTCTTTTGGAGAGAGAGAGAACAGGCTCACCCTTGAAAAAAATATTGTTGTTTACTTCTTTACAGTATGGTTATTTTTTGCATATTTGGGTCAGAATCCTTTTTAAATGAATTGAAATGAATGGAGTTTTACGTCCAGAATCCTTTTAAAGACATTAACTCAAGCCGTCTGCTTTCTTTACCTTTAAATGGTAACTGAAACTATCTCACTTTAGTCAGGTTGTTAGTACATGTACTTATACTACCTAAATATAAAGTGAATTGCTCATATTTTTATTTGAAATTGGACCAGGAATAGTAATAAACTCTTTATGAGTAAGAATGAGGTCCATTGCACCAAAGTGACATGGTCCTGACATTCAATTGCTCAAGTATACCTGATCAATATTTTTGAGCTTTGAGTCTTGATCATATGGTAGAACAAGTTCTCTGTTTGAAGCAATTTAAAATCGATATATGCATTACAGTTGGTTGTTAAAAGCACAAGTACATCTGTCCCAAATGACTTACTTAGCATACTACATAGTTAGCTTGTTTTGATTAGTACATGTAGGTAGAATTGTTCTTTTCTACTATAATCATCTCATACTAGTACATTCAAGTACCAATAGGTCATGACTAATAATATATCTTAATGACCTATATTATCCATTTGTCAGCAATTGGAAAGAAATTCAGAGCGTAAGTTTTTCACCAAATTAGATATTTCTGTCAGTATGGAGTGCAAGCACTCTAGAAGACACAGTACAGTCAATTGGATGAAATTTCAGGAAACTGATTTTAATTACATAAGGGTGAACCCCAGGGCTGTTACCTTATTGGTATTCACCAGTCATGTCTGATTAGATCTCCAAAGTGACTGACAGCAATTTTGATCGTTTGAACATTTTCCATGCCAATGTGCTTGATTTATTGGATTGAACATGAATTGGTACAAGATTTTGATATTGAAATTTCTGGTTTTCTGATGAACCTTATTCAAATTTTCCAAAAATTTGTTTAAATTTTATGTGTTTTGGTTTACTAAGGCCTACTTTGATAAATTCAAGTTATTACCAGTAAAGGGGTAACTCGAGGCAGATTTTCATGAAATTTCAGACATGGTCATTAGACATAGTAATTTTTCAAATCAACCTCTTTCTTAATGGGTTACTTGCTTAAAATTCACCAAAACTACAATTTAACAACTTAAAATTATTACAAATTTTTACCTTATCTTATTACACCAGGCTTGAATAAGTTTACATTAGGCTGAAAACATAATTGAAATATTGCCTCTAGGCTAGTTTAAAAAAGTTATTTTTTTTGATTAATCATTATGGAAATCAATATTGCTTGACAACCAAGTTTACATAGAAAATATACTCAAGTGCACTACATATATTCATGATTGGATTTAGATTTTGCTGACCTGTGCAAATGTGGGACACTAATTATAAGCTGAGTTAAAATAGTACCATGACAAAAAGAATTTTGAATTGAAGAAGCTGAGTAATGGAAAGAGGTTTTCAAACCTTTGTATGTATTATTAGGGATACTTATACATAAAGTAAAAATCTGCACAAGCAAGACAATTGTTTATCAAAAATCTCGTCCATAGAATGACAAAATCAGGAAGAATAGTTGTGTAAGCTTAGAATCATCTAAAGAGAGGTACCATCAGGCATTTCGAAAAGAGAATGTATGATCTGCTTCGTGCCGTGCCAGACCCTTGACTACCTTCATGGTCAAAATCCTGAAAGGGATTCTTCTGCATGTAGCTTAATTCTGCATTATTCCAATTTCCAGTCTGTTCAAGTTTTTTCAGGAATAACAGGGAACTCAGACACTGAAAATTGCACACATAAGGTATAATGATCCCCAAAAACACAAAAATGTACCAAGGGTAAACAAACTAGGGCTGGCACGATACATCAGTGAATCAATACATTGCAATACAACATGTATCGATACATGTATTGCAGCCCTTATATTGTGATACATATTGTATGATGATCAACACTCATCTCTACAAAAAACCTATTTCCAATCCCTTTAGTGAATATTTAAAAAATGGTAAAAGTTCGGATAAACGCCTAGTTGGCAATTCTAACAGTGTACATAAGTCACATACCAATTTCTTCTCATAACGTCATACACCAAGATTTTAATCAATTTTTTTTGCACAAAAAAAAACCTTGACGTCATGATTGCATAATTTATGATTCTTACATTATAAGTACATACTTTATAAATTAGAAATTAGAAAACTTGATAAATTATAACTACCATTTGCTCAAAGGTACACTTAAGTAGAAACTTGAAAGAATATTGGTTTTGAATGGATGATGTATAAGACTTGAAATTTATGAGTATGCTTAATAATGTTATCTGAGTTGACAATCTGAGTTGCAGAGTGGCATTAAGTGATCTAAACAGTGTAAATTCCCTTCCGGGTAAACGAAGCCTGCCATAAAGTACTAATAGCTGACTTCAAACTCAAATATGATTTTAACCGTTTAGACCTCTCCTTGGTGTGAATGTCTTACGCTGAATTTCACTATATAATCCATTTGATAATATCATCTAGTGCAGCAATAATGTTTTAATATAATTGCAAAAAAAAGACCATTACATCAAATTTGCCTTAAGCTTGATGTATATAGTTTATGGTTTAAAATTGCTTTTGTAATTATCATTATTGCGAACAGTAAAGTACTAGTAAGGCTAGGCTGGGGATAAGAAGGATCAATTGCTTGGTGTACTGTGTCAATGAAATACAGGCGATATTGATCTGGACACTACCAAAATTATAAACCTTCAAATAGATCTAACCAAAGAATAAAGTTATGTAATTCCCTTTTATAAAGGTGTCTGGAAAAATAATAAAACTGCTTTTCTAGTGTCTGGCAGTATTGTAAATATTACCACTATATCTGACCATCAGATTAAATTTTTTTCCAAGGTAGAACATGCCCTCAGTACCTGGCTTGTCCTTGATGTATTTCATCAGCATTTCATCAATGTATTAGAAGGATTGGAAAAAAAGTTTCTACATATTTGATGTTTATCAGGAACACTGATAGCATCAATTTGCCTCATTCCAATTTTCACACAGATGTCTGTGGTTCTTGCAATTCCACATTAACTAAGTGTTTGATGATGTCACTAATCGCAAAGGGCCATATCGAACACTTATTTTTATGGAATCGCAAGAACCACAGATATCTAATTGAAAATTGGAATGGTGTGAATTGATGCTGTCAATGTCCCTGATACACATAATAATTTAAGAAAACCTGATCTTTGAGCAGAGACATACAAGGCAGCCTATACATATATTTAATAGTTTATACTTCACTGCTTGGTACAAGTACTGATAAAGGACTGATAATAGATAAAATAATACTGATAATTATCTTATTATAAACAATATTTTTATATTCCAAATAACATTTTTCATGCTTACATAGTTCATTTATTTACATAGTAACAGATGGATATATATCACGCTTCTCTGTGTAGAAAATATTTATTACGAATTTTCCAACAGCGTATTTGTTTGGTATTCTTTTTATTTGAACCTTTTCATACTTTAACAACAAAGTTCAGAATATTTATTGAATTTGAGCTCAACAAGGATAAGTTAATGCCAGTTTGGCTAGTTTAGCATGACAACACCTGATGTTGCTCTGCAACTGGGTTTTTCAATGCTGCATCCCTTTCAGAGAGTGCACAGAGCTTATTTTGATCATTGAGTATAATTAATAATGCTCAGTATTCACTTGAACTTTATTCTAACCATGTAGATGTAGATTCCACCAAACATAATTCTCTGAAGCTTTAAGCATCCATGTTAGTTTTTTGGAACATGGCTACAACTGAAGCAGACGTCTGAAATGAAAACTGCATAAAACAAGTCAGCAGACAATTTTTAGCATCACTATGCTCTGGAGGCAAAATTGTCCTCATTGCACAGAGCATGTATTTGTCCTGCCTTTAATAGTCAAATTGAAGCAGTAAAGTAAGACATATATCCTCAATTTTGTTTTATTTTTAGCTCTACTGCGTATCTATATCATGTTATCTCAGTATAAAGCTTGATTGAATTTTCTCTAAAACTAACTTGATACTTTTTGAAATTTTCTGGAACAGACAGGTTGTGTTTTTAATGTTAGAGAAAGGTGGTATGGGTTGAAATTGTCTAAATTAAAAGTAATGAGATGTCTGAGTGAAGGAAAACAAATTAGATAGTAATTTAAGCGACTAGACTCCCAGTTAAATATCCTCTAACTTATTTAGTTTGAAATGTTAACAATAGTTGGTGAAGTGCTAAATACATATTTTAATGCGAATAACGGCTTGCACTTCCAGACTTTTATCAGACTTTGATCAGCTTCTGTTTGGCTCCGTTTACTTGTGGAAATTAAAACAAACAATGTCTATTCAGCCTAGTTGACACTTATTTATACTCGCTGATGATTAGAACACAGTGCCGTGCCCACGATGTGTCTGTCAAAACATGCCAGTAGATAAGAACGCAGTCATATTTTTTCCTTCAGCTTTCAATTGTAGGGATTAAAACTTGCTGCGATGAAAAGATTTTATCCTTTTTTTAGGTTCTAAGTCCAGACTTTTAACAACATGGTTATTTTTAGTCTGAAATATTTTGTAAAAACCGGGAAGTCACTTATTTCTGGTTTTAGATAAAAGAAAATCCAGACATGTACTGTAAGAATAGATAGATAGAGTAATAATTCAAATTTTTATCAGAAATCTAGTCCAAGCTTATATAAGAATAGGCTAACAATACCTGTATATCAAACAAAAGCTATGATTTATGAGCAACCTTTTCCAAGATGAGCATACAAATGTCTTGTTTTGTCATCAAGACACATCTGGGTCTGAGGTGCTATAAGCTAGTAAAAAGATACCTAGTAAGGTGATCATGTAAATTACTTTTTGGTAAAACACTTGGTGCCTCTCTACAACTGAGTCTGTCAACAAGTCTTTCACTTTGTGGATTCGCAGTAGTAAAATGCTACACAGACTGTGCACTTTTAATGTATCTTTTTAAGAGAGTCTTAACAATTCTTTTGTTGAGCTTTGCATGATAGCCAGCCCTTTTTTCGCCCAAATTAGAGCATAAAGACACAACTTAAAGGGGGAGTATGAGGGTTTCTGTTTATGTTTTGAGTTCATTTTTTTTTTAATAAATGTCAATATAGCTTCAAATTTTTGTAACATTTTTGAAACAGTTCCATTTTTAAAACAGTTCCATTTTTAAAACAGTTCAATTTTTGAAAGCAGTTAAAGTTTTGAAACCATTCCATGTTTGAAAACAGTCAATTTTTTGGAACATTTCATTTTTGAAAACAATTCCATTTTTGAAACAGTTCAATATTTGGAACATCCCATTTTTGAAAACAGTTCCATTTTTGGAAACAGTTCCATTTTTAAAAAATCACCATTGCTTTTATTGTCAACTCTGCACTTCATCAGACATTGCCACATTAGAACTTCTCAGAATATCATATAGAAACATACATGTATATAGAACATCATTATATATTAGTACTGGTATTGTCTAGAACTAGTTTGATTATGTAAACAATTTGTATCTAGATTCAGTTGTTAGGATGTGTTTTTTGTTGTTAGACACTGATTACAATAGACTAAACAAAACAATAGTACAGTTCAATACTAAAGATAAATAGTAATTTACCGCCATAACAATATAAATTGGCACCATTTCAACACATTATTCCATTTATTTACATCATTGTCTACAGGTGTCTGATGTTAACTCTGAATTGTTTCAGGAGCCATAGTGCCTCAGTGTCTTTGATTAGTTAGATTACCTGTGGGTCCAGTGTTCAATCCTGGCATCCTGGATTTTCAACCCTATTCTTTCTTTCAGTTTTTGTAGCTATTAATTAATAAATGTTTGCAGTCCAATATTTTGTTAATTTATGCTCCTGGTCACATATTGTAGTATATTTAATTAGTATTCAAAACTATAAAATAAATTATTGGGAGAAATAAATTCCACAAACCCAATAGACACTAACGTCTAGACAAATTTGAAACAATTATAACATTTTCCAAATTGCCATATATTATCAAGATTTGTCAAATGGGATTCCAGATTGAAAATTTATAGTATAGGAATCAAAATGGCTAAATTCTATAACATTTTTAGTAAATAATAGGTTTTCTTGAGTTTGTTTCTAATTATAGACAATTATTTGGTCGAGTTTAACACCGAACTGTTAAAGATTGTCTAGAAAGATGAACTTAAGTGATAAATAAAGTTGTCAGCTTCAGGGCTTTTTCCATCGTGTCCAGACTTGAGACACATTATAATTAACGGATATACTGGACATAAGCTAATTGTCGTTAGTTCCATTAAAATCACCATTAAAATGTGACTTGCCAGACAGTTTATATATGGAGGTTACTATTTTCACGAGGGATAATTCATTTAGCTCTTGTCTCGATTTACCAAAGTAGTCTCTTATTAAATATTTAGTGCCAGACTTGTTACAAATAAATATGTCATTGTCATCAGTTGGCAAGGTGGTAAGCCCTGTCCATAATGCCAGTTATTACAGATAATTTCATTTTAGATTGGCAGTCTGAAACAGAAAGTAAACTGACTCTTGTGCACTGTCCAAAAATTAGACATATCTTGACTTTGTGGTTTGAATTAATGGAAAATGCAGTTTAAAATCAAAATGGCCCACAAGCAAGTAAATAAACTAATGCACTTGGTTTTTAAAAGATAGTCAAAATTAAGTATAATGATAAAAGTTTGAAAACTGTCATTCCAAAGAAAGCTTTTACAAAATCAAAACAACATAAGCAATAATCCTGTATCATTCTCAAGATCTTATAAGTAGAAGAGCATAGCCAACTGTCTTTGGAAAAAAGTCAAAGCTGTCTGTCCAGCTTCCAACAAGACACCATCTTACAATGACTAAACAATAAGGTTATGGGTCAACAAAAAACATATACATTCAAACCATAACAGACATTCATAAGGTTTTAATACCAACATATAAGAATCAATATAAAAAATAACCAGTCCATCTTTACAGAAGGTACATATAAATATCAATATTCAAAAAGTTAAGCTATGCTCAGCAGACGATGAATGGGGAAAAAAAACTTTGGTAAAGTCGCAGCTTCAAAATAAAATAAAATATGTAGATTTTTCGAAAAAGACTGTTGTCATGTACTTACTAGGAAAAAAGTTAAATATAAAAATTTTGTTATCTTCCTCATTGGATGAAAACATTGGTTTGACCTAAACCTTCAAATTGATTGACGTCTGTGTGGATTGGGCTTGAGAATAGACTTGTTAATATATAATACTATTATTATATCAGACTTTCTTTTAACATAATAAGACCTTTATTTTATCAGACGACTTATATACTCTCAAGTACACCTTAATAAGATCACCTTAGTCTTAAGCTTATTTTGATTTATAAATATAATATTAGTCTGGGTCCTTTAGGTAAACTGTAAACTCAGAATCATGCCAGACATCAATAAATTACTAGAAAAATCATCTTCGTGTATCAAAGTATCTTATGTTCTAACATCAGCATCTGTATTAGGTTATGCTGTAAACTCAGAATCATTTTTCATGCTTAAAAATCATTTTCTTATATCAAGTATTGAAATTCTTCCATAAATATAACAGTCTAACATTGTGGGTACTACTGTACCGTACTAAAGTTCTTAAGATGTACTTTTAAACTGAATCATGCTAGACATACAGTGTTCTCTGTATTGATAGATTAATCTTAAAATCATGCTAGACATGCAGTCAGTCTTATGTGAGTCAAAGTTAAACTCAGAATGCCAACATACTGATATCTCTGGAACTCTTAATCATGCTAGACATTCAATCTACTTTGGTCAATAGTGACAGCAAAATCATGCCTGAAACTCTGAATCATGCCAGACATACAGTGTATTTGGTTCAAGATTGAATTTGTAATCATGCCATACATAGTGTAAAAGATCTGTCTTTTATAATCTTGCAAATGATATCATAATACAGCAACACTCTAAACATCTGAGCTACAGCCTGCTATCAAGGAGAAATGATATCAGTTACATTAAAGTTTTAATCTTGTTCTATTACAGGAAGTCAAAGAAAAGAAAGAAAGAGTAGTGGAGGTGGGGGAGGGGGTAAAGGTAAAAGATGTCGAGCCGATTCTTCAGAGATGGCTGTTAATTCAACTTCTGGTTCACTCATTCCTTCAAAAGTAAGTGACATTTTCCAGAACTTGTTAATATTCTAGACAAATTTTCTTGATTGCTGTTATGATGTAATAGATTAAAAACAGTTCAGACCTATATCAAACAAAACAATGATCCCATATTGCCAAATGATGTATCAACTGATCTCAAGACAACTGACATGTTACCCAAAATGATTTCCATGGAATATGATGCCATGATATCACTTACAGAAAAAATGTCATAATGCCAAGTAATACCTCATGAAAATGAAATGGTTTGACAATTCAAAACAATACTAGAAATTCTGTGCTTGAAATCTAAAATTAGAAATGTCATAACTTGATACTGTTTTTATGACCTATATCAATTTTTTTTTCCAGTGTGCCAAACGAAGTCGAGCTTATATGATTTTGGAAGCTTTACAGAAAGCTGATCTGCCTGTATTGGAGAGCTTCCATAATCATAATATACCACCTTCTCGAATACATTTATTAAATACACTGATTAAATTAGCTGATAGAGAACTAGTGTACCTGATAAATTGGGCTAAACACGTTCCTGGTAAGACTTCTATCTCTAGTCTCATATCTTTTACAGCAATGTTAATAATCAACATCACTAAGGAGGGTTCTAATGATGAACCCTGCCATCTAAAACACTAAAGCAAAGTTGGTAGCGAGTTAGAGTGTCGTCTGTTAGTTGCCATTGGTGCGAACCTGCCTCAAAATTATGCAAGTGCTGGCAAGATAGTTAATTTTTGCAGAGATTCAAAATAGGTTTTTCAGCATTTGTATGATTATTTGGGACACCTATAGCTTCTATTTGCACCAATCTGATTTTCCTACATTGGTCTGTTTCCTGCCATTTCAAACAAGATCCACCTTATTATGATGTCGCTTTGGAATAGAAGTTAACTTTGATGGTATTAGCTTCAGTGACATCACAATTTAGTTTTGTAACAGGAAAACAGAAACATGCAATGCTAGGAGGTTCTAATATACACATAAATAAGCCAGATATCCTCTTTTTCTGTATTAATTTCTATTAGTGCCCCATGAAATGCACATAAAGCAATAAGATAATATAGCATTACCAGCAGACGTAATTATCTATGTAAATCTCTCTATTTTAGGCTATACAGACTTATCTTTAAGTGATCAAGTACATCTAATAGAATGTTGTTGGATGGAATTATTATTATTAAATTGTGCATTTCGTTCTATGGACCATGAGGGAAAACGTCTAGTCTTTGCTCCTGATTTCCATCTTGACAGGTTTGTAGTGTTTTTATGTTTATATATTACGTTTCTGTTTACATGTAATGTTTTTATGTTATTTTTACACTTTATGTTTTTATGTTTATATATTACGTTTCTGTTTACACTTAGTGTTTTTATGTTTATATATTACGTTTCTGTTTACATGTAGTGTTTTTATGTTATTTTTAGTTCTGTTTACACTTAGTGTTTTTATGTTATATATTATGTTATGTTTACATGTAGTGTTTTTATGTTATATATTGTGTTCTGTTAACACTCAATGTTTTCATGTTATTTTATGTTTCTGTTTATGTGTAGAGTTTTTTGCGAATAGTGACATCATATGACACTTAGTTATAGACAAATTGCAGAAAGCACAGTTGTCTGATTGAAAATTGGAATGTTGCAAATTGATGTCATTAGCATCACCAATAGGACTACACATAAAAAATTAGAAGCCATCTTTACAATCCGTCAGTCTTATATTATGTTCTGTTGTCAGTGTATTATCAGAACATAATTCGCATAAAAATGTCTTTTTGAATAATTTTCTGAACACAATATGAAAGCCAATGTATATGGAATTAAAAGAAAAATTGAATCCAACAGGAAATAGTCTGCTACAGAAAGCTTAAAATGAGCTTTTCAGCTTGTATAGATAAAATAATTTAAATAATTTCTGAACCCTAAATGAAAGACAATGCATGTGGAATTAAAAGAAAAATAAATTGGATAGTAAATAGTCTGCTACAGAAAACTTAAAATGAGCACTTACAGTCTGTAAGCAAATATTTTAATTACTATTTCCCTTACATGTAATTTCACCAGGCACTATGAGAGTCGATGTGGAATTAAAAAAAAACAGATTAAATTGAACAGGAAATAGTCTGTACATGTTAATGTATATATATATAATCAGATTTAATATCTATCACTGTAATGAGGTTTTCAGACAAGATAGGGATCAATATTCAATGGGAGAGAGTTTTTTTAATGCATGAATTGTTTATTTATTATATTATTATTAATTCTGTAGACATGCACTATGAGCAGTTGTCTTTTTTATCAATGATGGAATTGTTCAGGAACATTGTCTTTAATAATGCCATTGTTGTAAAGCGGCATGAGGTCTAGTGTAGCACTTTCAGTTGTTTGATCAGAGATTTTTGTCACTTTCATGAATGAAATTGAATTATACGCTCCACTTTTTACAATTATGCTAGCAATTGGGCTAATGAAACAGGAGAAAAGTTTCCATTACATGACAAAAGTTAAGGCTTAAGCCGCGAATTAATGATGTACGTATGATGCAGGATTATAGTTACAGTAGAAAATAGAAATAGTGAACGCACGATGTCTGGGTTCGGACGCAAAGCTTCTACTATTTTCTACTGTCTTGATAATCCCACATGGTACACTGTTCCCACCTTTAGTCAGAATTTCTGTAACAGGACCTTCAACTTCTGTAGTCTCTAACACACAATGCACAGTGTTTGGTTTCTGCCCTTTGGTAAGCCAAAGAGCTTCAAAAAATGTCTGCCTACAGGCAAGAAACTCGATAAATTTTAACAAGTCAGTGTGCTAAGATGTATATTGTGAAGGTCTTGTATGTGTTGAAAATCAGAAATTTTTAGATTAAATGTTATTGCCCTTGTTGTATAAAACTGTATTTTATATAGTGTCTCCAGATTGCCCTGGTTGTGACTACAAACTATAAAATTGCTGTCAATTACTAAATGATAATAGGTCTCTTTCCAATATAAAGTGAAATAATGATAATAATGATAATAATGATAAGAGGATATAGTAGTGAATTAATCTAGTCTAATAATCTCATTATGGATAACAATAATGGTAAAAATCATGATAGGAAGATTGGATCTTTTTATATAACAATGAAATAATATAGAGATTTCTATATTGCTCTACAATAGATATAGATATATTGAGCACTATTTTAACAGTGAAAATTTCGTATTTTTGTTGTCATTGACCTATTTTAATTTACATATCAACTTCATGGTTTTACTAATTCTACTTATTAGGGATGATGTCCGCTTCGGTGAGAAAAAAAACTACATTGGTGGCTCGACAAATTTGACTCTCTGTGATGCAGGTTGACATGGGTAAAGCTTATTGTTGTTAAATGAGACAACTAAGTGAAACCCTATGTGCTACAGGCTGTACATATAAAAGATTTTTTGACAGTTTGTAATAAAAGTAGACTTATTATACTGCTGTGGGAAATTAACTTCATTGCACACTGCATGTTATTACCTGTCTTAATTAGCACAATGAGAAGCATAACTTTGAAATTTCAATTCAATTTAGTCTGTTAAACCATGTTTATCGGGCTTTCACAATAATAAATATTTTCACTGTTAAGGCTAAATATATCAATTGTAGAGTGATATAGAAATACCACTGTTGAAATAGTGCTAAATATATCAATTGTAGAGTGATATAGAAATACCCCTGTTGAAATAGTGCTAAATATATCAATTGTAGAGTGATATAGAAATACCTCTGTTGAAATAGTGCTCAATACATCAATTGTAGAGCGATATAGAAATACCCCTGTTGAAATAGTGCTTGCTCAATACAACAATTGTAGAGCGATATAGAAATACCACTGTTAAAATAGTGCTCAATACAACAATTGTAGAGAGATATAGAAATACCACTGTTGAAATAGTGCTCAATACAACAATTGTAGAGTGATATAGAAATACCACTGTTAAAATAGTGCTCAATACAACAATTGTAGAGAGATATAGAAATACCACTGTTGAAATAGTGCTCAATACAACAATTGTAGAGAGATATAGAAATACCACTGTTAAAATAGTGCTCAATACAACAATTGTAGAGTGATATAGAAATACCACTGTTGAAATAGTGTTCAATACCAAACTAGAAATTTCACTGTCTATTCCTATATATGTGTTTTCTATATATGGCATAGTCTCACTAAAATTCGAGTTGAATTTTTAACTTTCAAATGTGAACAGGTATGAATACATATGGATTTGAAGGCTCAAATTTCGACGATGAGCTGTGAACACTATTACTGATTATGTAAGCTAAAAAAATTCCTGTTTCTGAAACTAAGGTATGATTGGTCAAACAGATAGGGAAGGTGCTCCTTTAAATGCATAAAAAAAAATGGCTTGAGTTCTGCCAACTGGTAAATTGGAATAAAACGGAAACTTGAAATTCTACATCATACTATGTACAATGAGGGACATTTTACTGTGACAGCATCATAAGCATATTCTTTTTTTAATTTCCAACTCTGGAGAGATCTTAATAGCTAATGACATCAAAAAGCCATACTTCATATGATTGGGCTACAGCCCTCTTCATGGGCTCTATTTCAGCTTATGTATTTGGATTAGAAGTTTTGAGACATGTTTCAAGAGCAAATGTCTATTATTTTTGTTCTTTTTTTCCACTTATCTAGTCTAGAACTAGGTTGCTATTGTTCTATATATGGTGAATAAGAAATAAGAAGAAAGGAAAAAGTGTGTTATATAGGTCTAGACAAGTTATTAGAAATGTGATGTTTATGTTGAAAAGTAAAGCTAGAGGGAATGAATAATACATACAGCTACCTCAGACGTTTTTCAGATTAAATAATAAATGGAAGGTTATTAGACTTCCATGTCTTATTAATCATAGATTACTATCAACTTGTCTCACGCAAAAATATTCTTTACCAAATTTACTTTCCAAATCAAATTTTCATCTAGATTATTGATTGTCTATGTCTGAAGCCATTTGCTTGTGTATGTAAGTGGTGTTTTTTTTTTCATATTTATTATTATTATTTAAAGTTATTTTTGTTATTTTTTTATGTTTTTATCATATCAAGGTTATGTCTATGATCAAATTTATTATATTTTTTAGTAACAATATACTTCAGCTTGGTCGTTAAATTAAGTCTATGACTGAAGTATAATTGATATATGTATAAATTTGTAGATAATAATGTAGATTATTAAAATATGATTTGATTAAGCTTTGATACTGATACCAATATATCGTTGGTGACCGCTTGAAACCTTGTATATGCCATATTTGGTCATTTTGACTTTTTGGTACTGCTCGAAAGCTCGTAAAAGCGCGGACCTTGTGATCAAATCCTCGTATTCTTAGCATGATTGTAAATAACTCATAGGGCACTAATTAAATAACATGTATATAAACAGTCAGATTTAAAACCTCGTAAAATATATTATTATACGAGGTTCAAAATTCCTTTTCTGTGGATGAAAATGAAAAACCTTGTATACTGTATTATTATACGAGTTATTGGTTGAATAGGTCGGAGATATTGAATTGTTATATAAGGTTTATATTTTCCAAGAATGAAAACCACGTATAACAATATAATAAAAAAAGATTTTAACAAAATATGCGTACAAATAGTTTTTTGCGTTTTTCTCGAAAAGTAATTCCGCGTCATATATCGTTATACGAGGTTTCAAGCCACGATATAGATACCAAGATATCAAATTGTATGAATAACTGCAAAGATATTAAATGTATGAATAACATGTTTAAATAACAAAATGTATGACTAACCTGTATAAATATCAAAGATATATAGATATCAAAATGTATGATGACATATAGATATCAAAATGTATGTATAACATACATATATCAAAATGTATGAATAACATAGATATCAAAATTTATGTCTAACATATAGATATCAAAATGTATGAATAATATATAGATATCAAAACATTTAGATATCAAAATGTATGAATAACATAAGATTATAGATATATAAATAAATAAGTAAAAATTCTTTACTTGCAGACAATTATGGAATTTAACTGGAATGACAGAGATATTAGAACAAGTTGCAGCAGTATCAGAATTAATGGTACAATATTGTATTAGTAAAGAAGAACTGTTACTTTTACAGGCAACAGTATTAGTAAATGCAGGTAGGCATTAGTCTTCATTGACCTTGTTAGTATTTATTAAGTTACCAGATTGCTTCCTCTTGATTTTTTAGAATTTTTAAATTTGAATTTATAATAAATTTTGTAAAATGTATTTGTTGTGCAGAAGATTATAAAGAAATTGTGTTGTGTATGATTTAAAAGACATTGATTACATGCAAATGATTTGTGATTGAATTAAAAGAAATTTGTGGATAGGATATTTAAAACCACCATCACGATGAATTTTCTGAGGGAAAGGGTTTTAAATGTCCTGAAAACTGAAGAAGAAGGGTTTATCTTACTTAAAGATAAATTCCAAAAATATCTAACCATATTTTATCCCATAAGGTAAGCCATGTCACTTGCAGCATTGTGGGATCATAACCTATATGTGCCAGTATGTCTTGTGTTACCCACATACTCTCTCAGTTAAGTTCATAGAATTTTTGTATATGAATTCCCTAGGAGCTGACATGACAGGGATTTAAAATTTCAATTGAAGAATAGATTGTTGTCATTAAAGATGGATTACTTTTATTTTTCAGAGGTAAGAAGACTAGCTAGTTTTAGTCGAATACAAGATATGAGACAAGTAATACTGGATGCCCTAGTTGAAACATCGGGCCGATTTCACGCTGATAATAGTCGACACGTTCCCTCGATACTACTTTTATTAACCCATATACGACAAGCTGGAGAGCGAGGAATAGCTTATTTCCAACAATTAAAACGAGAGGGATGTGTTGTTTTCTGTGATTTGCTGACTGAAATGTTAGAAGCTCATAATAATATGGGTGAACGGCGAGTAAGCAATGAAGTGGAATGATTGCAACTAGATCTGGATTAAAATCTAGAAAAACTGACTATAAATAACCTAGTTGTTTATCATAATCCAGATTATATTCAATCCGGCTTTAACATCTATTCAAGTAATGTGGATTCAATTCGTATACTAGATATAATTAAAGGGAACACTTCATCTAATTTAGAATTTTTATGGATCGTGCTTATTTTTTGGACTTTCTGAAGATAAAATGAAAAATTGGGTAGTTGACATCACTAAACCTAACTTCAAGTTGATAATGATGCCATAAATATTGAGACATTTCGATGGAACATTTCCGAAAACTGACATTTTTTTTGTTAGAATTTTTCTTTAGGAAATAGAAATATCGGATCTATAAGAAAAATAAAATTAGATTAAGGTGTCCCTTTAATCTGGATTGTTTTTTTGTAAGGAAATTTTAGTTGTCTATATTTAATGTTAAAACTGTAGCAGGTGAAATATTGCGATAAAGAATGTTATAATTTGGACACTTTTTATTATTATTATTATAATTATATTCGGGCCTGTTGTACAGTTCAGACAATTTTTTTAGATATATTTAGTGTATGTTGTCCACCTGACAAGGCAATGTCAAGTTTGCTTCAATTTTTGTCTCACATGTCAAGCAGTTTGAATTAAGAAAATATTCATTTGATCTTCAAATATTTTGGAAATGAAATAACATTTGTGACATCAACTCCAAAAATAGCATTTAACAGTGTTTGAAATGCAAATTTCCTAATTGTTAGGATTAGAAGCAATATGTAAATTGGAAAAGAAGACACAAGAGACTGAAAAATCCCAATTGCCTCGTTTTAGCAAAAATTGGATCTAACCTTTGACCTCAGCAATAGGAGAATCTGGTTGAGTGCTCTTGTTAGCTTATGAAGAATGGTGTAAATATATTCTAGTTGACATCATCTCCCTTATGAAAATAGTAAGCCAGGATACTAAGAATTAAAGACACACGTAAGAACTAAAACTTGACATTGCCTTTAGACCACTCTCATTTTTTTATATATGTCTTATAAAGCATTTCCACCCTTGCTAGTTATATATATGTTAAGACTGATTTGTATATAAGTACTGAAATATTGGTCTGATGGCACCAAGTGCATACCAATATAAAAACCGTATCATCAAGAATGAAATACAGTTAAAGGGTGTATTAACTATAATAAAGTCATTGTTATTTTTCATACACGATTTATTGAAGTTGGCTATAAAATTATGAGCCAAAAATGAAGGCGAATTGAAATACGAAAGCATTTCTGCATTTACAAATGTAAAATTTTTTGAAAATTTTGTTATTTTACTTTTTTTATGTCGGATTCTATTTTGAACTGAAGTTACAAGTATGTATAAGGAAAATTTATGATGGTTTAGAATTTATATCAATTTTTGATTTTATCTTTTAAAGAGCGTTTTCTTTTTGATCTGAATTCTTCTAGAGTTTTCTAAATTTCTTAAAGTTTAAGAAATTAAAAGAGATTTTTCTAGGCATTGTATGTGGGGATACTTCGAGCTTCTATATAAGCATCATTCAAATGAAAATGATTTTTGCTATAGTGACATCATAATTTGGTCTAGTTTTGTGGAATTACAGGAACCATAAACATCGCATGAAAATTTGGATTGATACAAATAAAACCTATATTAAGTGTCCTCGTACATTTAAATAGGTTAGAAAATTTATTTTGAATTTCCAAAAATTTGCATGAGTTTGTTCCAAAAGTCTCCATAATTTCCCAACTTTAAAAATGAAAATAACCTCTGTACAAATTTTTTAACTCATTTGACACGTTATGACTCACTGCTTATTTGAACTTGAAACAGAAATGATTGGTCGTACAATGAAGTATATCAAGGAACTATTTCTTCAAGATGTAGGAATAAAGATTATTGGGTACCTAGGTAAAAAGTAGTCCCTAACTTTACTTGTAATTAGTTTTGTGTGGTGTTGTGTATTATTGGGCTTCTGGTCACCAAGTGACAAGCTTTTATTATTATTATTATTATTAATGTTTTATTATATTGGTCCTATATCTAGGTTTAAAATGTTTATTTGCAATTTCTTTGGTATTGACAATATTTTAAACTTTGGCATGAAATAAAAAACAAACTTCGAACTAAAAGTTAAAGAGAATGAAAATGCTAAAATTTTTAGATTCATTTGTGTCACATCACGCATCCAATTTTGACATCAAAACCAGATTTGTTTATTTTTATCAAAGAAATAACGCTTTCTAAAAACATATACATTATTGTATTATTACGCTCAAGTTTCTGTTAGACATATGTTGAAGTTTGACATGAAAAAATGAATATACTAGGTTAAAAACTGTGTCAGTAGAACACTTATATCTTTGTTAAATTTGTTGTTGATTAAAAGAAAATTTGGAGAAAAAAAATGAAAATGTGCTAAGATTAGGTTTTGTCTCCTTATTTGTACAAAAAGTAACTTTGATTTTTTCTACTATTAACGTTCTTCCAGATTCCTAGGTTAACACTCAATAAAAGTCCTCAAAATTTTTAGTTGTACTTGTAAGACATTCAATTTTGTAGATCAAGATTAAATTTATACTACCCTCAATTCTGCACCAAATTATAATTTACAATAGGGCATATATGTTTTCAAATTCACTACTTTTGACTAGTTCCGCAGAAAAATTCCTAAATCCTAATTTTTATGCTTCTGCATTTGTTTATCAGACACTGTATATATATTATACAATGATATATTTTATGTAGTACTCAGTAGTGCTATTAGTTGAAGGGTCAAGGCCACTCTTGCACTTCAAATCTGATTCAGCCCAAAAGTAGACGAAATCGCAAAACTAATACTGCAAAACCAAATTCGTCTAAACCTGGCCACGTATTCTCGAAATGATCTTAGTGTTAGGATATCTCAGAAACAGTTTTGAGCCCTAGGACATCCTCGCACTAGGATCTCCTTGAGAATATGCCTCCTGGTTTATACAAGATTATTGACAAATTCAGAAGCCAAAATATGAAAAGATTATTTGCATTGGGCTGATAAGGCAAAGGAAAGTTGGAATCAGTTAGTACCAGCAAAGTACCAGCAAGCCAGAAAATCAGATGCATGTAGTGTGAGGGAGCCTTTACTCTGATTAAGTTGTGTACATACATTCTTACTTTGCTGATGCACATTTTAAGCTACATGTAGTGGTAGTACACTGTATAGGGAGATTAAAGGTGCAATTCTTATTGTTGGTTGATAGAATTTAAAACCACTGAAAATGAGAAAGAAACTGTAATAGAAAGTGGAATCAAAAAGTAATGTTTTTTTAAGAAATATTTTGATCATGGGGGATAATTTTTGGTACAGTGTTTTTCATTCTATTAACGGCAATCAGAATTGTGTCTGAACTATGTTGGAGAAAGAAAGATATACTTCCATTTGAGCTTTAAGCTCTTTTGATTTTATATTTTGACTATGTGAATGAAAGAATCAAACTATGAATTGAGAAAATGTTTAAAGGGATTAGTGCCTGTAATTATATTATTTCATATGATGATGAGTTTTGTTGTCGTCTTTCTGCACATTAAAGGAATACTCTTAGAATTGGCATAAAAGTTGGATTTTTGAAACTTGGCCAATGAGACCTGCTGTGATAACTATTCTACAGAATCTCTGTATAATACAATAAATCCATAATACAAAAATTCCATACTTCAAAAATTGCATAGTTTTATAGATTTATCACAATAAACAGGGATTCTGTTGTATAGTTATGACACCAGGTAAGATCAAATGATGAATATATACGCTTATTGACCAAGTTTGAGACTTTAAATTTTATGTTCATTCTAAGACGTAGTATTCCTTTAAGTAAACTTAATGCACGCAGAAGTAAAAAATTTCGGGGAAATTTTGTGTCTAGAAATATCCAGAGGGCCTGGGGCTGCATTGTTTCATAAAGAAATAAAATTGCAGATCTGAAAACCTTTGAAATCTGAAATGATAAAATTACAGGGAACAATTTCTTTAATAAGGGGTAGAAATTTTAATGTATGACTTGAGAATTTTTCATTTCTTCATTCGTCCCAAAGTTCAAAACGGGGACGAATATAAAAATATTAGGAATGAATCAACTTTTATATCTCAAATTGGCTGTCAAAAAGTTCCTGCAAGTCTTTGATGATTGGAATATGTGTTTGAAGGAAAGAGGAAATGTGAGGGAATCGTAGAAAAGATGTACTCTATATGATATCTCTGTACATTAGTTGCTATGCACGGAAATTGTTTTTGTTAAGAAAAATTATATATATAAATGTTAACTTTGGCAAAATATTTTCTGTGAAATGCATTGCAATATATATATTATTGAATCATTTAATAATTGTGAACTAAAACCAAAATGAAATATTTTTTGAAAATGAATGCTTGTGTAAAATTTCAAATTTTTGGCTTATTTTGGAATGGAGATAAAATACATTTATTTTGAAGTTTGGTTTATGTAAATATACTACACTTATATTTGTTTAAAATAAAAACATGAAATTCTGTACAAGAAATATACCATAACATATTATCTCGCTTCTAAAGAAATAAAAATGGCATTTATTGCTTTTAGGAAAATTTTGTTTTTATTATGTCTTCAGTTGTCCATTTTAAATGAAAAACACAGACAAAAGTAAGTGTGCAAGAACTTGAAGTGCATGTCCAATTGGTGGAAGGGGCTGGGTGTTGAGCCAACACTATAACTAAAGCAAAGACCATGGCATCATATTTCATCTAATTAGCAGACAACATATCAAGTTGCTATCTTTGAAACACATGATGGTACTTCTCCTTTGAGAGAACCACTGCTATACAATTATTGAATATGATGGCTTATAATCATTTCCAAATACGTAAGTATTGGCAAGAATGTTTTACTTTTTCTGGGTAAGAAGTCCATGCACAGAAACAGATATCAAATTGGGGAACATTTTTTGCCATGGTTCACAGAGTCTGGGCTGTTACTTTGGCAGAGACATGATCGAAGGGAAAGTTCAAATGACCATCAGTCAATATCCTCTATCGGACATCAAGTATACATATACATATAGAACTGGATTAGTACTTCTTTCAAGTAAACTCCAGGTAGTTAAGAACTACTATTACTTTCAAGAATATCAAATACAGCTCCATTGATTGGTCTTTATAGTTCCTGTCCTTCCACAAACAAATACAAAACATGATATTATGTATAAATATTGTATTTATTTTTAACATAAAAAATTCTCAGCATAAATGTTATAAATTCAAATTAACCTGTTAAATCACTGTTGAGGTGAACAGACAGGCACTTTTGGTTTTAATATCTTACAAGAAAACAGATATAAAAGAAATTTAATGATTCTTGGCATAATAAATAATCATGATATTTCATCAAGAAACTTATAATAATACAAAGGGACAGAATTTCATAAAGATTGAAGATAAAATTTGGCACTAAGTAGATAGATAATCATGTACAAAAATTCCTCTCAAAACAAAATAGGGACATAGCCTAACAGAGAGTTTTTTATCAGTTTGCTTCCATGTTTGTGAAAATACGACAGTACAGACAGTGCAGAACATGTTTACAAATTCACAATAACAGAAAAGAAATGTGGTTTCTCATTAAAAAATACCTTAAACAATACGCTACAAATAATGTAATATTTCTTAAGATGCTAAGTTGACAAACTTAGTTGCCAAATGGCATCAGAGGCATCAGGTGTCCTGAACGTCTGGCAAACCTCTTTAGTTATTCTGACCAGAGAATATAAGCTTATAAATGCGGAGCTCAAAGTCAGCATTTTTTTGACTGAGACTCAAAAGCTTAAACATCTAAGACTTCAATCCCTTGCTCTCTTAATCACTCTCTCAGATTTAGCCCCTGAAAGGTTACAAAGTACAAACTAATATCAATAAATATTAAGATGAAATATGATATTGGACTAGACAGACTAAGTCTGAGAAAAACATTCCACGACACAACATAAAAAAAGATACGCAAAATACGGCACAATTTAAAAACATAATAAGATCATCAAAAAGAATTTAAAAATAAATTAAGTGGTATTGGACATTGTTGAATTATATCACAAAAGTGAACATTAGTACATTTTTAAACAGTTTGAGTTGCATGAATTATAAAATTGGGGAAAAAATCTGTTTCTACAATTCTAACAGAGCATGATATATCTAATGATATACCTTTCAAAGGCACAAATATTCAAAGAGGCACAAATGTAACATGCCATTAAAAAAAGCTTAAAATAAGTACATGTTCTAACAGCTCTTAGTATACATGTACTTTTAAATATTGACTTGAAGGCCAGGTTTCAATACAGCATTTTTCTATCATTGATACATGAAAATACATTTTTAATGTACATACTTGCCTTTCTAAAGGCACAATATTAATACAGGCACAAATGTTATAACATTCTATGAAAAAAAGCTTAAAATAAGTACATGTTATTACAGCTCTTAGTATAATTGTACTTTTAAGTACTGACATGAAGAGCTTATTTCATTACAGCATTCTTATATCATTGATACATGAAATGTACATTCTTAGGCACAAATGCTATAATATTCTATGAGAAAAAGCTTAAAATAAGTACATAAGTACAGCTGTAAGTACATTTGCACTTTAGGCATCTATAGATAAATAAGTACATACACTATCATGTCTGTGCAATTCTAAGTACCTTTTCCAAGAGCTTGTGTTCCATGTTAACACTACTTAATGTACATTTATTATAATTTATGTAAATGTATCCAATTTATGTTGATTAAATGCATTAGCATTCACAAAGGTAATCAGGTACATTTAGAGTATATACACTTTAAAAGATAAATATTTAACATAATACAAATAGAATTAATATAGATGGAGATCATATTAAGATAAAGCTTTTTTAAAGATGGGTTCCCTTATTTACTTTTATGAAAATGAAAATGCTAATACTTATATGAATAGAAAGTAGAGGTGTTTTAATGACTTGGAAAAATACCGGTTTTTCTCACATGTCCATAATCAATTCATAATTAGCTAAATTAGAAGAGAATTACCAGCACAATTCCAATGAGTGGCTGATCAAGAAAGGTCAAAAAGTCTTTTTTGTTTATCCAGACTGTACATACATGGACATATATGATTGGTTAAAGCTCTTAATTATATGCAATAAAAAACATAATGATATGATTAAGAATACATGATAATTCATTACAAACACCAATTAATCAAATAGTTGCTTAATTTGACACTAAAAAATAAGGAAACCCATCTTTATCTTTTCAATTTCCAACTGTCGAGGGTTCTTTAATGTGCACAGTCTGTAGCACACTTGGCCTCGGTTTATTGTCCCCATCCGTACAACTAGATGCTTTTTCCATGTCAGCCACTCGGGTTGAAAAATCTGAAGGTATTATCTCGACCTATGCTGGGATTGACTTTCTGGTTTGCGAGTAAATGTCTAACTCACTGATCCACCGCGGCTCCCTAGGGAAAAGGAGCTTTATCAGGTAGTAAAGCAAATGTTTAAATTACTATGTACTTTTCTTATATTCTTTGTTCAGATGATGTTTAAAATAAATTGTTCACACAGAGATGTCCCTTTGTTCAGATGAACGTAAAAAAACAATTTTGTTCACACAGAGGCTCCATCTTGTCCTGTTTTCATTTTAAGTATTATCTAAGTAATCTTTTTCTAAACTGGCCGAATTTTCAACTGATAACTGCCAGTGTTGAGAATCTAAAGAATTATCACAATCAGCTAAAACAAGCCCTTTATTAGCCATATAGCTATCAATACACATTCCACTAGATTCATGTACTATCTGCTTCTCATGACGGTACCATCTCTAGAATTTAACAAAATTTATCAGTCACAAATCAACGAAATCCAATTTCATACTTTTCTCTTCTTTATGAGTTCATAAAGACTTGAAATGCAGTGTAGTGTGCAATATGGGAAATTAAGTATTGCAGTGATATGAGTCTACTATTTTTCAACTTCCAAATGTGAAGTAATCTGTAACATGTACCAACCTGTACAAATGACTAGACAATTTTTAAAATTAGTCAGTTCTTCCTATCTGCATCACTTAGATGAAGAAACCAGGTTGAAAAATAGCGATGCCATCATAATACCCCCACCTTTGTGATGGCAGCTAATTTGTCCGGGAGGTTGACAAGAGTTATCAGTAAATGAATGTTTCTGAGAGTGAAATTTTCATATTTCATGGGTTTTGTTTACAGCTTTTTTATTCAAGTGGGATTAATTTAACATGTCAAGTTTCATTTAATCCATATAGAATTGAATTTTTTGAGTGGCAGCAAGTGGCAAATCTTTGTGTTCGTCTGATTTTCAATAGGGTTCATCCTTGGGTGATTACAAACACTCACACCAAGTTTCGTCAAAATCCATCAAGAAACCAGAATCCATTAAGAAACCAGAATCCATTAAGAAACCAGCTCTCTATCGTGTCCACAAACAATTCAAGAACAAGGGCAATAACTCATAATAAATATTTTTCGGTTCATCAGATTTTCAATAGGGTTCATCCTTGGATGATTACAAACACTCACACCAAGTTCCGGACGGACAGACAGGGGCGACGGCTATATACATTAATGTGTGGGCATATAAAAAAAAACAAAAAAACATTAAAAGCATGTGTATCCATTTAAAAACAAAAAGATGCAGTAAAAGTAGTAAATTGATGCACATTTACCTGATTATCACCATAGTTACAGAACTGTACCACAACATAGAGATGTGTTACTAGGGGATCAGATGTTAAACACATACCATTACTAACTATAATACCTTTACGCCTCCATGACCAGTCCTATAATAAATTTCAGGTGTCTCTTCACACTGAGAGCAAGAGTAAGGTAGTACATTCTACTACATTCTAAATCATTCAATATTTCAGCTTTTCTGAAATCACAGATGAACGGGGCATCTAATTTCATTCTTAATGTGATATGCCCAACTAAAAAACTCTAAACCCTTTAAAATTTCATGAGCTTAATGTAAGCTCTGATGTGTAAAATCTTACCTGGGCTTCTTTACTTTCACTACATAATCTAATTTTAGTAATGACAGGAAGTTGTCCAGGGTCAAGGTCAAGACAGTAATCACCTTGTTTGACGTGACCATAGGCTAACTCATCACTTACTGGTAACCTACAAACATTATGAAAATAGTCACTCTTAGATCAACAACCAATCCAACAGTACCGAACCATTCAATTGATCCTGATTATACTACCAACTACCATGACTACCAACAACTACCTAGTCAGACTGCGATATCATCAAACTCGAAGCAGACGTCAACTTTCAACAGACCAACCTGGTAGGTTTTTGTCTGAATCAAATACTGCAGCTTATGTCCTTTATCTTTCAGCTCTGCACCTAATTTTGAAAGGATAAACCATACTGATGCACTTTTCCAATCATTTTCATATGATTTCAATTTGGGCGCAAGCTTCGCAGAAGTCAACCAGACTTTGCTGCTACAACCCTGCATCAGTCTATGTGATAAGGGATACTGGTAGTAATGATTTACTTACTGTAATTGAGGATAAATATGTTCTAAATACCAACGGAAATTCTGACATTTTAACTTAATTCTTAAATTTCTTCGTTCTGATAAACTGTTCAATAGAATAATAAGGGGTATATATTAGTTGAAATGGCATCAATTGATAGTTACAGACTATTATAATGTCGTTCAATGAAAACATTTGTATTCAGATTTAGACTGGATCAATCTAGAAATCTAATGAGGGATGTTTTTTTTCAAATAGACACAAGAAATATGAACCAGTTATGGCTAGAATAAAAATGCCCCTTGTTTTATGCTATTCTTCAAAGTCTGATTTTGGAGACCCCCATCTCCAATAAAGGTATCCTGCTGAGGATTGTTCATTCAAGACATCTGTGGGCAGAACATGGTGAGCTCTAATCAATTACTTACTCTCCATATGTCTGCATTCTAGATGACGGTCTGGCAGCATAGAAAAATCTCTTGTATTCATCCATCCACATTTCAGCTACACGACGAGTATTTCTGAAACAAGTTCAACACGTTTACTGACATATACTAGAAAGAAAAATGGAGTCTCATACTAAATTCATATGTACATATAGCCCATATACAACTAATGGTTCGCAATCTGAAAACAAGCATATATGCCAGAGGAAAGTGATGTACAGCACTGTCTACCCTTATGAAAATTTATTGCGCATCATACATAAATATGGCCTATTTATGATGAAAAAACTGTTGCAATCGTTACGAACACAAGTTATATGGATATACTACTTCTAGGTTTGTTACATACAGGTAAAAATTTGTACGTTACCTGTATGTGTGTCAAAACGTAGTATGTAATAAATCTAGAAGTAGTATATCCATATAACTTGTGTTCTTAATTTTTACCTTCCTGCTTCTATATGTCTTACAAAGATTATGTTGCAATTGTTTGTCTTATTTTTAATAGAAAGCAAAACCTTTGAAACTCCAAATTCACTAATTGTTATTGTAGGCCTCACTTTTTATGTAGACTATGTATTAACTTACCTAAGATAAGTATTAACATTACCATCAGGAAATCTATAAGGATGTTTTTTACGTAGAATATGTCCCACTCTACTACATGGTATAATATTAATAGAACCACCACACATCCATATTCTAAATGATAACTCTACAATAACAGACGTCAAATGTTTCAGTATGTATAGATATGAAACTCATTAAAGGGATTGTAAAGAGGTTTTCTTAATTTTCTATGTGTATCACGGACACTGATAGAATCAATTTGCACCATTCCAACTTTTAATCAAATGTCTGTGGTTTCTGCAATTCCACTAAGTGTTTTATGACATCACCCCCCGCAAAAATTGTTTGTACGTTTGCGAGTGACGTCATAAAACACTTAAGCCTAGTTCACACCAATGTCGAATGCTGCGCTTTAAATCGGCGAGCAAAGTGCCAGCATTTTTTGTTTACTTTCAAAAAATATCACGATCTCCTAAGTAATGTTACGCTCTGATAAGCTCTGATACGAATTGGTTACGCTTTGGGGACGAATTATTTCCTGATTTGATCAGGCCTTGTTACGCTTTAAATCACGCTTTGATAAGCTTTATTAAGCTTTGATGCGGTTATGACGCTTTAAATCACGCTCTGATACGATTATCAAGCTCTGTTATGCATTGTTAAGCTCTGTTATACATTTCGAAATGGCCGATTTCATGCCGCTTTTGATCAAGTGGTGACAGACCGTGAAAACTGGGGTCCCCGCTTTGAATAAAGCTCTGTTAAGCTTTCCTACGCTTTGAATCAAGCTTTGCTGAACTTTGTTACGCTTTGTTAAGCTTTGATACGTTCTCGGCGCTTTAATCAATTCGTGACAGAGCGCCCAAAATTTTTAAACAGTTTAAAATTTTTTGGCGCTCTTGCCGAATATCCAGCTTTGCTCAAAGCTTTCCAACGATCTATTACGACCCTGGCGCTTTAGTCGAGCTTTGTTACGCTTTGGTACCGCTTTGGACGCCGCTTTAAAGCGCCATCAAAGCGCCGTTGGTGTGAACTGAGCATTAGTTTTAGTAGAATTGCTAGAAACACAGACGTCTGATTAAAAATTGAAATGGTTCAAATTGATGCTATCATTGTCCCCGATACACATACAAAGTTTAGAAAACTTCTTTACAACCCTTTAAGGATTCAAAAGAGCTATTTAGCTGTCATATCTGTATCACAGTAACTTACAGCTTCTTTTTGCACTGAGCCAAATAGTATTCGTGGTAGTGACATCATAATCTGGTAAGTCTTTTTGGAATAAAAGGTACCAAAGAAGTCGAACATGGAATCAGAATGTTGCTATTAGAAGTGTCTTTAATACACATTCAAAGCCATGATCGTCTTCAGTTTTTTTGGTACCCTTTTTTTCGAAAATGAAATGAAATGAATGGAGTTTTACATCGTACTTTTCTGCATCATGTGGGCTAATGAAGATGGGCAATGTTATGCAGGTTGCAATGAGGGGCATTTTGCCAAGACAGCAGCATTAGTCTGGTCTTTTTCGATTTGCAACTGTTGAGCATATAGCACGCAGGGCCTTGGTTTATTGTCCCATCCAAATGACTAGACTTTCCATGTCAGACACCGTGACTCCCCCCTTATTTAGATACTCATTCAAGGTCGTTAGACTTTCAACACCTGACCAAGATTATAACTAGCATAACAAAGAAAATGGCATCAGAGTTTCAACACTCTAATAAACAAAGCTTCAGCCCATCCAAAACATTCTATTAATATATCTTTATAATAATATAATACTCATTAATTTTGATGGGTTTCTCTTTCGATATTTTTTAAAAAATATAAATTTTTTACTAACCAAAATTTTCCCCACCCCAGATATCCATTTTTGTATCTAAACTTCCCATACTCATAAAATAATCTTTTTGAACACTAAAAGCGCTTCCTGACATCACAGGCGTCCTGAAAATCAAAGAGAATATTCTGTTTAAAACTTATGATTGATGTCTAGAAACAAACAGAAATTTGAGTTGTTTTCAAGTCTTGGTAAATAATAGATTTTCTTCGATGGATCAATATGTTCCATGAATGGAAAAGTCTTTTCATCTACCCTGAGGAAACTTTGAGCAAGATAAAAATCACTTCAATTTCAAAAGATCTTGAATGTGCAGAGCAGAAGAAGTTGCTTTCATCCAAAAAATATCAATACTTAATCTCATTAACATATGTATTTTTGGTTCCAAAAACATTGACTTAAATGGGCATTCCACTTTTTTGTAGGTCGAAAAAAAAAATTGTTTTTTAAACTATACACCAATATCTAGAGAAACATGTCCATTAACATATCTGAAAGTTTTAACTTAAACAATCCAGCCATTTATTTTCTAACGTCAAAACACCAAAACTATTTATAAACATTATGTAAGGTTTTTAAGTTTGTTATGTATTTTGGTAGGTGTAAGAAAACAAGTGTATAGATTTAAGTAAAATAAACTCTGTAGAGAAATATGTTTCCCATATATTCTTCAGGTTTCTACTAATAATATCGAGCTGTTATAAAGCTAAACACTAAAACTAGGTCAAACTGCTTAATTAACAATAAGTCATCACCGTTTTTAATCAACCCTTTTAAAAAAATTCAGTTTGATCAAGAAGATATATAGATATAAATAGTACATTTTAGAAATATTTTCAGGTATAATTTAAGACGTTTTTGATAATGAAAACTTTGCATACTGCACATTTATCATTCAAAAGGAAAATATTTTTTCGTAAACCTTTACCTGACTGGTTGTATTTCATCTTTTTTCCTGATATCAATGGGTTGTTCTTCCCATCGAAAATTTAAACTCCAATCAAAACCTAAAATAATTATATAGCAGATAATGGGAGGGAACTCTTATTAAATTTCTACAGTCCAAATCCAGGCAAGTCTATCTTACAACTAGAAAATTACTATCTCTAGATGTAACATTCTTCAATTCAATGGAATTCTTCAATTAGTAGACAATTTATGGAAGAATTCATCATTCTAAAATATGCTTTTCACTCTAAGCTAAATCTTCATTTTGGGAGTTACATTAATTGGTTTTATGATGAAAATTCTTCATTAAAGTAAGCATTTTAATGGTGGAATTCTTCATTTTGTGGTGGCTTAATAACTGAATTCAGGCTGCATATTCCTGAAACCATCTTAGCAATAGGGTGTCCCAAAATTCAATGCCAGCTTACCTCCTCGCAGAATTTCTGTCAATTTTTCATAATCAAAAGAATCTTTATCTATAGGATCAATGACAGGAGTAACAACAGATCTTGGTTCCTGAAAATAGATAAAGGACTTTATTATGCCAGCATTTTTGAAAGAATAGACCCACACTAGAAGCTGGAACCATCTCACTGTCAAATCAAATAATGGTGCTGCTTTACAAAGTGGGGTTGCAAACAAATGGTGGTTGTGAGTTCTTATTTCAGTCAGCATGTGTAAGTCTGGTGACATAGTATAAGTCTTCTTTGCTCTTTCAGTGTACACAGCAGTAAATGGATATGAATAATCCAGGAAAGATCAATGCCAAGAGTTTGGTAAAGGACCAGGTGGTAAAAAGGATCCTCATGAACCAGAAAAACTGCTACTTGCATCAACATCAAAGGTTAATTTTCAAGACTTGCTCATCCCTTTGATATCCAATATGTCTCCTAAAATAACCTTGTAATGAATACCTGAGATAAACGTTGTATTAAAGGTGGTAACCAGCCTATATTTACTTCACAATGACTATCTAAGAAAGTTAGGATTCTACCTTTAGCTAGCTTAGCTCCTTTAACACGAGATCGGATTAAACCTGTAATAAACACAATTAACAGTTAAAATTAATTCCAATTACCATATATACTGAAGTTCATGTTTCAAAAATATAAACAAGATTTGAATGACATTTGGAAGTTGAGAGCACATATAACTGAAAACACAAGGGAATATATTATGGTATAACACACTTCTTAATAACAAAGTACATAATGTTTCAACACAATTTACATGTGTCTTCATCAGATTAAAGATGTGTGTTAGATGGTGATGAGAACATAGTCTCATGAAAGCACTGGCCTAGGTCACAAAATAAAGATTTATGATAAAACAAGGTGCAAGTTAAAGGTTAAGATAATTAGATATGTTAACTAAGGATGTCTCTGTAATACTATCTGTGGTAATATCATTTCTTTAACTGAAATAGCTGAAAATATAAGAGTCAACATTCTTCTGATATATCAATACTCATCTCAAGATAAAACCTATATTGTGAAACTGTTATACCATAATAATTCCCTTGTGCTCTCAACTTCTAAATGTCGTTCAAATCTTGTTTTCCAAAAATACATGACAGATAAAATAAAGCTACTACTAGGCTTCTCACCCTCTCTATTTTGGTTTCTGACTAGTTTGATTTTTGGTAGATTGACTAATGCACTACCATCTTCAACTGGAATGTAAAAAAATGTTTCATGAACTAAAAGCAAAGTCAATAAATTAGAATTTCAGCTTTATTTCTTAATTACCTCTTCATGCAAGATTTTAAAACAACTGGACTATTTCAAACTGTGCCCTATCTCATTGTTGGTGGACAAATAAATATTATTGGTTCTTGTGTGTACTCTCAGAAACAAGTTTAGAGCATTTATCTCTCAGAAACAGCACAAATTTGTTTTAGAGGGACAGATGTGTCATTTTTTTGACCAATCATACTTAAGTCACAGAACTGGGATTTTTCTAGCTGAGCCATTCAGTAATAGTGTTCACAGCTCAGCGTTGTAATTTGAGCCTTCAAATCCATGAGTGTACAGAATTATCAGTGTTTGAATGTTAAAATGATGACTCGTCATTTTAAGATACTGTGATACATATAAAGGCATAATATAGAAATAGTGAGTAAAACTTAGAAGTATTTTTTAAAGGAATCATGCTATTTTCTAACATTTCTAGTACTTCTGAAGACTATTTACCATTACATATATTCAAGACTGAAATGAACCCTCTGAAATGGCGCATATGTCTCTTTAAATATCTATCCAGTAATATAGTCAATAATTATTAGCACTATTTTGACAGTGAAAATATTACAATATATACATACTATTTTCACTAAAATCATCTATTAATAAAATTTCTTCTAATAAAAATTCTGGAGTTCTTTTTAATATACTGAAACACAAAAACATTTGGGCCATCAAAAACCAAAACACAACCAATATTATGTTATTTGGATTTGGAGAGTACACATACATGTACTTAATATAATTGTTTATTTGAGTCCTTGGTCGAAAAATGTGCAGCAGGATGGAAGAGAATGTCCCTTTTTTCTGAATGATTTATCCAAGCACCATCCCAAAAATACTGATACTCCTCTATATTTTTCACCAAGTATCCCTTTTGGAGTGGCCACATTTTTAATTACGTTCTTCAAAAAATTACGACCAAAGGGCAGCCATTTTGAAGGAAATAATAAGTAAAGAAGAATTGTACCTGACTATAGTTCTAAGTAATGCCGATCTAGCTTCATTATAAAAGACTATAATAATACTTGTGGTTGGTAAAAATTGCGGAATGCCAGAAAAATGTGATAAACACCTGAAAAGGATAAAAACAAGGATTAAAAGGCTATGTTACATCACGCAATCTTTAATCTCTTTAATCCAGATAATCCTTAACCATGAGTGTAGACCAAATTACTGCATATTACTTATTTCTAGAAAATATGCAGTGAGGTGTATCTGTTAATATTATTTCTGCTATGTGATATCAATTATACTTAAGCACAAATACTCCTGCTTCTAGAATCCATAATATGACTGTATCACCTTTCAGAATTCAAATCTGACTTCCTACCACAGCAGTTATATATTACTTATAATTCTCCCATTCAAATACATGAATTACAATACATTATCTTTTCATTGGCCATAGTTGGCAAAGAAAATGAAAATAGTTGTGATGATTGGAGAGTTTTGGATTGCTCCAGAACCAGATGTCAGATTTAAATTTTGAAAAAGGATACACATAGCTGAAAACAAGCTTTCATAGCTGAAAAATATTCAGACCACATCTGTCCCTTTCACATTTGGCCTTAAGCTGAGAAAAACTTACTTTGGACTTCTAGCATCAGGTATTGTTCTATCTGGTGGTATTTTATTACTGACTAGTATATTAAAACCATGTCTTCTAACTGGTTCCTGTACATCTTCTTCATTATAACTATTGATATATCTCTTTAAACCTAGAGTCTTTATATCATACTTTGTCTAAAAATATATCAATATCATAATGAAAGGGATAGATTTGTGTCTTGAATATATGAATATAATCTTCAGGAGATCTTAAAATTCATGAGAAACACATAATTCATTCATTAATACTTAAAACTAGGAATTTCACTTTCGATTTCTATATGTATCTTTCTATATATGTCTTTTCTATATATGTCTTTTCTATATATGTCTTTTCTATATATGTCTTTTCTGTATGTGTCTTTTCTATATGTGTCTTTTCTATATGTGTCTTTTCTATATATGTCTTTTCTATATATGTCTTTTCTATATATGTCTTTTCTGTATGTGTCTTTTCTATATGTGTCTTTTCTATATATGTCTTTTCTGTATGTGTCTTTTCTATATAAGACAGAGCCTCAAGAAAAGACTATTACTGATTAGCTTAGCTAAATAAATTCTCATTTCTCTGAGACTAAGGTACGATTGGTCAAAGGAACGGTGAAAAAGTTATAACAGTAATTTGAAATGTAGCCTTTAATAAACATTTATCAATGATCTCATACAGATACAGATACAGGAAAAGGAAAAGGATAATTTCTAAGTTTATACTCATGAAATTTTAATTTCACATGTAAAAGGTTTAATTTTAATTCAAATATCTAATATCACAAAATCACGTCTGAATCTGAAAAGATATTTAAATATGTAATGAAAATGTAATTCAATTAAAATATCTAAAAACATTAGACATAGACTACACAGAAATATATCTGAAATTTCAAATGTAATGAAAATGTAATTTTAATTTAAGATGTTTATATTAAATCAAAATCTTAGCTGTATTAGCAAAGAGTTATGACAAAATCCCTTATTTACTATAAATTCAGTAGGCCTACTGTTACGATGGTATGTTACTACTGTATATAGGCCCTACTTTTATGAATATATAATGTAAATTTATCAAATAGTTTTATATTGCCCTTTACAATCCAAATTCTGAAGCAAAAAAAAACACTTTATCAAATAGTTTAGCAATTTACAATCAAATTTCTCACGCATTTAAAAAATCTAAACACTTTATCTAATATTTTGTGATAAAATCATAGCTGGATATGCAAAAAATTATGATTACTTTTAAAACATTGAGCAATGAAATCTTTGATTCCTAAAAAAAAATCTATCAAATATTTTGAGATAAAATCATAGATTAATATGCAGAAAATAATGATAAATTTTCAAATTTAACGAATAAAAATTCTGTCAATTTATAAAGTTTATCTGTAAGGTTATCACTTGTATTTTAATATAGTGTGAAGTAGAAAATGATTGTGATATAATTTATATGCTAGTACATGACATTATCAATGAAAAATTTATTTACTTAGATAATCCTATAAAAAAACTTGGGTGATAACTATCATGGAAAAATACATCAAAATCTTTCAGATAACTGAGTTATTTATCCATTCATTCATTCATGCCTGTATGTGTCTTTCCTTCATTCATTTCTAAGTTAAACAAAAATTTATTTAATTGCATTTTGCTTTATTTGTTCTCTCCTACACAAGTTGGTAAATCAATAGAAACTACACATTTTGAAAGTCTACTTTAGGGATATAGCACTACATTTAAGTGTGTTTTCGCCACATCACAATATAAATAAATGCCACGAATTGTTTAGGAATTCACTCACATGTGTGGTTCCTGGCTTTCCCAGCAGACTGTCCCAGAAGATATAAATAGTTCCACAAAACCATACCAAAATCAGGCATAGGAATACTATCTTTCTTTTCTTTCTCATTTTGCACCTAATCAACCATTTTTGTATCTTTGTTAATTTCTGTAACACAACGTGCAAAATTTACTATGAGTTATTGATGATATATCACACTTATCTTACTGTTGAATATCACTGATACACTCTAATATACCGTTATACTCATATACTGAGGTCACGTGCCACGTCAAGTTCAACATTTGGTAGACTTTCACTGCCAGTGACAAGTTGTTAACCACTGTATATACACTATCGGACTGGCAGTTCAAGGCTTGGTATCTATTATTTACATTTTTAAAGCTCAGTTGAATGATAAAGATATACATCTTTATTTCACTGATATTGAAACATCTTATTATGAAATATGAAACTTTAATTCCCTTCTTTTATCAATGAAAGATATTAAAACATGTTTATACTAAAAAAACCCCGAACTTATCGAGAAAAAAACCTGTGTTATCGGTATTTAATGAAAAAAAAGATTTTCCTTGCTTGTAGGCCCTTATAACGAACTAATTTGCATCATTGAAATTTTTAAGTTGAAGTTACAATTCCTTTAAACTTATCAATGGTTCCCTAGGTGACTTGCTAAGCCAATATACACTTGCAAGTAGAGACTACAATGACAAATCAGTATTGTGGGGTTAAAAGCTTAGTAAATCACTTGCAGAGTCGAAATATTTATAAGCTTTTTCTGCGAAAAAATACTATAATATGCATATTGTATCAAATAATATGGGGAAAATTTTCGGCTATGATATAATTGTGGTCTGAAATTTTAGAAGTTATTCCCCTTGGTAGAGAACTTTAATCATTTTATTTATAAAGTTCGAGTACAGATACTAGTTATACACGTGTTAAGCTTATTTATTGAAATTCTGAAGCACCATGGCATCTGTTACAGCGTTCGGAATCGATCATAGATATATAGTCATACCTGCAATGGCACTGTCAGTGGGCGTGGCGTGCTATTCAAGTTATAAACTGTATTCCGAGAGAAATGACAGACGACACCAAAATGTCTATGAAACGAAGAAACTGTTGAGTGAATATTTGGTTTTCCATTATGGACAGCCGAATGAAATATTGAAGTACGATTTTGGACCAAAAGATGCGCTAGATTTTCCCAAAAGATGTGCTGATTTGTGTTTAAAACACTACAAACCTAAGGTAATGTTTATATAATGTATGTATGAGAAAAGATACATTGTATGAGATATTAGAAACAATGTATCATATCATTAGATGCAATGTATCAGACAGTTTGATTTGAGTGTGGAATATATGTAAATAGTCTTCAGAAGTACTGTACGAAGATCACATAATTCCTTCAAAAATATCTCAAAGTAGGAATTTCACTCTGTTTCTACATAAGTCGTTTCAATATCACAGAGTATCTTAAATTGACCAGTCATCAATTTAACATTTAAATGCTGATAATTCTGGACACACATAGATTTGAGGGCTCAAAATTTTGACAGTGAGCTGTGAACGCTATTATCAATTTGCTCAGCTAAAAATTCCAGTTCCTGAGAGTAAAGTTTAATTGGTAAAAAAAAATGGCCTACCTGTCTCTTTAAATGTAATTACACATGTACAATGTATCTTATAAATAGAAAAAAAAATATATGATTGATACAATACCATGCATCTGATAATTAAAGACAGTAGTGTAAAATTTTGATATGCAATAATATTTTACAGGCCGGAGTTCCTGCGAGAGCCTTCGACATTGGTTGTGCTGTAGGAAGATCATCATTTGAGTTAGCTCGTATTTTTGATGATGTTGTGGGATTAGATTACAGTCAGAGATTTGTTGATACCTGTAATCAGTTAAAATTAGATGGTTTGATTAATTATAGTATTTATGATGAAGGGGAGATAACTACAGATTTAACAGCTAGAGTTGATAAAACTATAGTGAGTTAAAGAATATGAGCTCTTGTTATTTTGATGCATCAATTTATGTCACTACTCACAAGTCTTTATTTCTAAACCAGCATAGCTCATGATTTCATTGCAGAAACATAATGATTCAAATGACCTAAAAAATAATTCTGATTTCTGGCAAAATATAGTTATCTTTGCCATTTGCAAACTTAGGTTCTGATATATTGATAAAGGTAGTTTAAAAAGACACATGGCAATCCCAAATTGTTCCAGTTGTTCTTTTTAGGATGCATAATTACTTACTTTCCTGTAAGACATTGCATGTGCATTCTTTTTTCTTTACAGCATCGAGATAGAACTAGATTTATACAAGGTGATGCCTGTTGTTTACCAGCTGATCTAGGACAATTTGGGGTTGTATTGGCTGCTAATTTAATCTGTAGACTCCATCATCCTTTTGATTTTCTATGGAGGATGGGAGATTTAGTTGCTCCTGGTGGAATATTAGTTATTACAAGTCCATATACTTGGCTTGCAGAATACACTGAGAGGGTATGTATTTTCATTGAAAGAAAAGAAAGAAACAACTATATTTTACAAGAATAACAACTAAGATTTACAGTTTAGGATCCATTCTACCAGCTGGTCCTTGGCCGAACCTCTTGACATTGATCTTTCCAGGATTATCCGTACCCATTTACAGCTGGGTCGACTGGAATTATGAGTGAAGATGACTTATTCAAAGTCATCAGACTTTCACACGCTGATCAAGATCGGAACCCACGACCGCCATTTGCTTGACGTAGCCAAGCAAATCACATCATGTAAAGAACCAATGCTCTAACCGACTGTGCTAGAGAAACTTTCAAAGGTCTTATGCTTTTTAAAATGCAAGTCAGATTCACAACCTTTTGAACTCTGTTACGCTATCTCTTTGTACCTTTCGCATGTCATAAGCATATTGAAGCATAAAGTGCAGTTTACTACTATGGTCCTTGAATCTTGACAGACATGTTTTCTTATGTTGACACAAGGCTATGCTATTCCTAACAAAAGTGTTTTATTTTTTTCAGGAAAATTTGTTGGGTGGATATTATAATAAAGATGGACAACCAGTCACTGGGTTTATGACATTATTAAAATCATTAGGACCATTCTTCGATTTGGTAGATGACATCAATATGCCATTCTTCATTAGAGAAACAGCCAGAAAGAATCAGTGGACTGTTGCCCATGCAACCGTTTGGAAGCGAAAGAGCAATTAATTTCCAATATCTAATCTAATATTCCAATATAGTGATTGTCTCTTTAATCAATTTAATAAAAATTCCATGACGTTGCTTATAGGTACCTTGTGAACTGTTCCAAAACTTTATAATATGTGTATTAAGGCAGTAAAGCAATATTTACAAACACTATAGTCAAATTAGTGCAATTAGCTCTAGCTTAAAGGGATTGTAAAGAGTTTTTCTAAAATTTTTATGTGTATCAGGGACTCTGATTGCATCAATTTGCATTTTTCCAATTTTCATTCAGATGTCTGTTGTTCCTGCAATTCCACTAAAACCTAGTGCTTGATGATGCCACTAATTGTAAAATATGCTTGCATTTAGTGACCTCATCAAACACCTAGTTTTAGTGTTATTACATGAACCAGGAACATTTGATTGAAAATTCAAATTGTGCAAATTAAGGCTATCAGTGTCTCTGATATCTGATCTGATACAAAAATTTAGAGTTTAATATTCCAATATAGTGGTTGTCTCTTTATTTTAAAAAAATTCCATGAGTTGCTTATAGGTACATTGTGAACTGTTCTAAAACTTTATTAAATGTGTATAAAGGCATTAACTCTAGCTTAATAATTATGATGGTTGTTGGTTTCTGAACATCCCACCGTTTATGGCAATCAATCAAGTTTTGCATTAAGATGTAAAATTACTTTAATTTGAATTTGAATTTAATTATGTATCCTTCAGGGTTCCCATAAGGAATAAAAAAATAGAGGTAATTGAAAATATCAACTGAGGGTCAGAGGGCCACAGGCTTTCATGAGGAGAACAGGCAGAGATTTCACCATTTTAAGATGCTTTTTGAAGTTATTTCCTCCAATATGTAGAAATCTTTTTATCCTCAAATTAAATTTAAATTGAAAATAAAAAAAAATTTCCACTGGCCAGAAAAAAGAGGAATTCTTCTGAATGGGGATGCCTGATTCTTGGAAAGATTTAAACTTAAACCATTGTCGCTATCTGGTTATTATTGACATTCTTATATGCATTTATTATCAATGATGTAAAATAGAAATAACATTATAAAGTAAGAATTGTTGAATTGTAAGAGAACCGTATGTAAGATTTTTATTTTGAAAGTGATATAGATTGATATTAATTTAGATACTATTAGTTAATCTATGTAAGCTTGTTATATACAATGACGATTGTTACTGGTAATTAAAAACATAACTATGTTTGTTATAATCTCTATCCAATGAAGAATTATTAGTCATTAAGGGTTGGTTAAAAGCCTTCACTGTGCCTACTCTCAATGGGTGACCTCGATTGGATTTCAGGTTAGACTTGAGTCACAACCGAACTGTAATATTTTCTAGAGTTGTGACTTGTGCGACGTAATATTTTACCTTGATAGAAGCTCGAGTCCTACACTCACTGTTTGGAGAGTCAAACAGAGTTAACTTTGTAGCATGGAATGTCTATACATGGTCAAAAGTCCCTCCAAACTCAGCATGCACATTCAAGATAATTATTTCATTTCTCCAACGACTCTAGCTCAACCACAGAAGTTTAATCGAAGTCAGTAGTATTATCAGTAAATATCAAATAAGCTCTAGTTTGAATATGTCATGGATTTTCAACTGACCATTTAGGTGCAGGTGCAGCTTAAAGTAATACTACCTCTTAGAATGAATATCAACCTTCCCAGTGCCATAACTATACAACAGAATCCCAATTATGTTGTTTTAGGGATTCTGTTGTATATTAATGACATCAGGTAAGTCAACTTATGAATATAATATATTATACTGTTATTGGCCAAGTTTCAGAAGTAAAATTTTATGTCCATTCTAAGAGGTAGTATCTCTTTAATGTTAAACAGAATCGACTTTTGCAATTCATTTGAGTGTATTAAACTTCTGCTGGGTGTCGCATACATCTGGATTGTACACCACCTGGTTTAATCAATATTCAATGGTTCAGTTTTAGAACACGTGCTGCATATCCAAATACATGTCATGGTGTATATATGTATCAATATTTTAAGATACCAGGTATATACTAGACAACTATGTTTACACATAACTAAACATCAACCAAACTGTTCTGTTTTTATACACCCACATTATAATGTTGTTGTATATTCTGGTTGTCATCAGACTTTTATGAAATTTGGTATGATCATCAAAACAATGAGATCTTGTTCAAGTTTGAATTTGACATTTTTTTATGAATGTTTTTGAGTTATTGCCCTTGAACTAGGAAAAATGGTCAAAACTCTTGAGAGACTACATATTTTATTTGATTTTAATGATACTCTGTGAAAGTTTAAGAGATTAGCTGTATTCGCTAGCATGCAATCCAATCAAATTGCTTCATTAATTGTGTAATACAAGTAGAGATTCAAAATGGCTTTATTTCCCTGTAGGAACCATACATAGTTTCATATGTCTATTTTATATGACCGTTTGGGTTTACTGCATGTTACATGTCAAGATGGTGTGATATATGATTGATTCATTCAGGAGATAAAACCGTAAAATACTACAATATGCTTTGCTCAACGTCAACGTCCATTAAATATTTCACATGATAGATTTGATTTTGCAATAAAAACAAGTTATACTTTTTAACGAATTTATTAACAAACAAAATGGATTTAAAAACCTGTGACTAAACAATTTCAGCACATTGATAAAATAATAAACTGGTATATTCTGAAAGCATACAAACTTGAAGTAATGGACTTATGATATATGACAAATGAATAAATTACTTACACCAAGAGTAACAAATTTGAAATGAGTATATCAAAACTAAAATGGGTAGGACAAAACCAAATGTGATATGATAAATCAACAAAATATTACCCCAAGTAAATGTTGATTACAACTGAAGCTGCAAAGGAAACTACTTACATCGAAATAACATACACGAATGTAGTTCACTCTACCAAGACTTAATAAGTCAAATTTTTAAAAAAGCTATGTTATTTCAACAATTCCTTCAAACCACATATAAAGCCATTTCTAAACCTTTAAATGTGATTTGAAGGCTAAATGAAATTTTCGAGCATTTTTGAAATTTCGACTATATATATTGAAGTAGTGATTCAAAATGGTTGTGAACTATGTTCGTGTATGTTATTTCCATGTAAGAACCATACATAGTTTTGTCTGCTGAAACTACAATACCATATTGCTTTTATTGCACTGGCATTCATGTTATCACTTTATGTTTTTGAGAAAAAACCCTATTTTAGCACTATTTATTGATGATTAGCAATAATAAAGCATATAGTAAAAACATAAAGTATATAATATATACATGAATAATTCAGTGTGTAGACAGACATAACTAACAACAATATGATTTCTTGTTCTTTTCTGCAATCATGTTTAGTCAGTAGCACATAATACTGCATGGTATTTTAGCACATTATATATTACATTGCCAAATGTTCAGAAAGAATTCGATAAATTTTGTTTATAAATATCTGCATGCTAAAATATATTTATCTATACATTCCAAAAATTTATTATAAAACTAATAAAAAGTACCTAAAGGTGCCCTCAAAACATAGTGATTACCTGTTGAATATGTTAGCGTATAATGACAAGTGGTCATGAGTATCAAACACAACTCAGTTGCATGATAATGGTGTTCAACACTTACGATTGCTTTTCTTATTCACAACTATACCCAACTGGTGATCACTATGATCTGAGGTCTCCTTAAGTTTGCATCAATCATACAATTGTTCAATATCCTATCTGAATACTGCATAGTTTTGGTGAACAGATGTAAACTAAATATACTGATATTGATAATGGAACGACACATAATATAAATTAAAACCTAATTAATTCACATCTGTGAACATAATATGAGAGCTCAGACAAAATCAAAAGTTACATCCCAAAACATCATGATTTTTACTCTTTTCTACTTTTGATTTAGCTGTAAGTTTTCACTTATGATCTGGTAATAAACTTTTGATTCAGTCATAAGATCTAAATACACTTTTGATTTGATTCAATCATTAATACAAATTTGATTTAGTCAATAGATCTTAATACACTTTTGATTATGTCATTAGATCTGCATATAGTTTTGGTTCAGTCATTAGATCTAAATACACTTTTGATTCGGTTATCATCAATATATTGTTGATCGAAGCATTGGATCTAAATACAATTTCGATTCAGTCATTAGATCCAAATCTAAATATAGTTTTGATTCAGTCATTAGATCTGAATACACTTTTGATTCAGTCATTAGATCTGAATACACTTTTGATTCAGTCATTAGATCTGAATACACTTTTGTTTCAGTCATTAGATCTGAATACACTTTTGATTTGGTCATTAGATCTGAATACACTTTTGATTTGGTCAGCCTAAACAAAAGTAGAAAAGGTAAACAATGAGAAAGAGTTATGTATAACCACATAAGCATTTGATATTCATTCAAAATGGACAAAAATATATATAAAAAAATAGAGCACATCCATATAAAATAACAAAAATATGACTAGATTTTGAAAATAAAATAATTTGGCAGTAAGCTCTTTCGAATAGACTAGATAGCCTGAATCTAGGCATGTGATCTTTTAATTACAAAACAAATCAAGCACTAGGATAAAATTTATCACCTTTAATATTATCACAACTTGTTTTCTTCTTTACCTTATCACTTTACTGAAATACATTCAAAAGATCAAGTGTGGAAAGAGTTTGAAAAGATTTAGAGTATTAAAGATTTAGTGCGAAAAGAGTTTAAATTATACTGTAGAAAAGATCAAGAGTTCCAAGACAGATTTTGGAAAGATCAAGTTAACCAAAGAAGAATTTAAGTGCCACCTAAACAGACAAAATATGGATCTCTGAGACAATGAAGCTTTTTTCATCATAGTCTGCTTAACCTGCAGCATTAAGGAAAGCTATTTGAAAAGGGTAACTTTCTCTACAAGATACATGTTTCCAATTCAGGTTAGTATGTAAGTGTCTAAGTCATAAACCAACACAGTACCAATTCAAAATTCAAAACCAGTGAATCATCCAATGCCTCAGAATGAAAAGAACTTATAAAATAACCATATATAGGTTTAAAGGATGTGTGTTGTTTACTTACATTAATAACACCTCCATCTTTACGAACTTCTTCCATTAAACTCTTCACTTTATTCAAACATTCTAGTTTCTTCTTTAATCTATCTTTATTAGATATAGGGCCCTAACAAAACATGAATGGCCGGTCATATTACCTGTTCTTTCATACCAATAAATGAACAATAAGGATATATAAAGAATTAGTCATTAGATATAAATACACTTTCAATTGTATCATTAGGTCTAAATACACTTTCAATTGTATCATTAGGTCTAAATACACTTTCAATTCTATCATTAGGTCTAAATACACTTTCAATTCTATCATTAGGTCTAAATACACTTTCAATTCTATCAGTAGGTCTAAATACACTTTCAATTCTATCATTAGGTCTAGGTACACTTTCAATTCTGTCATTAGGTCTAAATTCACTTTCAATTCTATCGTTAGGTCTAAATACACTTTCAATTCTGTCATTAGGTTTAAATACACTTTCAATTCTATCGTTAGGTCTAATTACACTTTCAATTCTATCATTAGGTCTAAATACACTTTCAATTCTATCGTTAGGTCTAAATACACTTTCAATTCTGTCGTTAGGTCTAAATACACTTTCAATTCTATCATTAGGTCTAAATACACTTTCAATTTTGACAAGTATTTAGATCTAAGTATAAGATCCAATTACACTCTAGATCTAAATACACTTCAGTTATTTTTTTAAATGTATGAGCTTACCTTTTTTTCTGAAATGGAATGGTAAGTTGTATGATTATTTGATATAACAGATGCATTGTTACTTTCCATTGGTCCATTATGAAGCTGTTGTTGGTTTTTATCTGTTGGATGCTGATGTTGGACATTCTGTTGCTGTTTCTGTTGCTGAACAGAATGATCGAACACTTGTGATTTATACACTTTAGGAACAAATGGAGCAACTGGAGATAAAAATGGGTTAAACGTTGGATAAATCATTGGTAAAGATTGCTGCATTGGAACAGGATTATATGTCATTGCTGGTGGATTGCCACAAAATCCATTTTGTATAGGAGGCTTCATTCCTGGCATAGGTTGCAAAGGATAGTTCATTCCTGGCATGGTATGAGAATCAACCGGGGTGAGATTTTCACGTTGTACGATTTGACAATCTTCGTTTGTCTGCAATGAGCATTTGAAGGTAAATGCATCACCGTGGATTATTTCTGTACCCAAATCATTCAGTTGGACAGGAGTTGGTACTCTGATAGAAGATGTATTAGATTGAGGTAACTCTGATATCGCTGGTTTTGTATTACCACTAGATAGAGCAGCTTGTTTTAAAAGATTGGCTTTGGACATGCGAGAAATTGGAGCAAAAGAGTTGGCGAAAGTGTTCTTTGGATAGTTAATTACACTTTCAGGTTGTACTCTATCTGTAGTTTCACCTTCACTTTGGATGAGATTAACATATTCCAAGTTTGCAGACACATCAACAGGAGCTTGAGGTAGAATTGGTTCAGAATAAAATGATTCAGACTGTTCTTCAATATGTACATAAGGATGGGCTTCTGAATTTTCTTGTTGCTTAAGGAACAACATGTAAGCATTAACAAGATGTGGTGGAAGACCAATGGGAATTGTAACATCTGGTATGGACGATTTCTGAGTCAGAGTAATGGATGCATGCTGGAAATTTGAGGTTATATCATTGGAGGAAGTCCCATTATCATTCAGAGAGCAAGATTCTGGAACAGTTTGTAATGTTTCAAAGCATTTCTGATCTGGAAAAATTTGACCATTAGAGTGAAGCTGAACTGCTGATGGATAAGCCTGATGACTGATGGTAACTGAGCTTGATTTATTGGATTCGTCTTGAAGAACAGCTGCTTCCTCTAGTCTATTACCATAACCTGATTTTTGAGTACAAATTTGAGTCACATTCAACGCACTCGGGTCTTGGCAAAAGACTTTTGTACTGCTGGTTTCTGAGAAACCATACATTGATTTATAAGCATCTGATAAATAATCATAGTTTAACTCAGAAGAGATGGCTTCTATGGAGTATTGGTTATCTAGGCTTGGGTAGTTAACAATATTGGTAACATCTTTCAGGGTGTTTTGAAGAGGTGCATTGGACTGAGGAAATGATGTATTAACTTCAATGACATGTGGAGTGAAATTTTCAGCATTTGGATTGAGTTCTGGTAGAATTTTTTTCTCTTTCAAACTTTTGTCATCTGCCTTGTTTTGTTCCCTTTGCTGAGAGAGTTTACTGCCTCGAGTTGAAAGAAACTGTTTTCTGGCAGCAGCAAATTTGGACCTAGCAGACATGAAACGTATGCCCTTGGATTGACCTCCTGTTTCAACCTTTGAATTTAATTTGCACAGATTCTCATTTTCTGAATCTAAAATATTGTTTTGACTTTGATCCCTTTCAGGAATTACAAATTTAACTTCTGTCTCATTTTTTGGAGGGCTGACAACTTGCACATCTTGGATAGCTCCTTTATGGAGTTGTCTGGTACATTCTGTTTGCAACACCTCATAATTGTTTACAGCTTTGGGGATGCCAGAATACGAAAGATGTGTGGATTTAGTTTGAGGATCACATTCAGGACCAACATAGTCAATATCACCATCCCAATCCTCTCCATCTGAATTGTAACTCACATCAAATCTAGATTGTTCTACTTTCACTGTATCATGGAGACCATTTCCATCTTCCTTAGAATGGGAGTTATCATTCAAGACAGAACAAGACAAGGTTTCATACTCTGGTGGAACTGTACATCTTTGAGAAAACTGGAATTTATGTGCCTGAGGTGGTGTTGGTATGGTAGGAAGAGGACTCCACACAGATTCATTCAAAGGCTCGAGCAGCACAGGATCAGGAATCAAAGAGTCCTTAGAGCTTGGATGTTTTGGTCGAGCTCCACCATGAGGATCATAGTATTCATCAAATGTAAATACCTCTGTTGTTGTTCTTTTCCTGGTTTGACTGTTAGCACCACAATTATCAGATCTTACTTCAGAACCAACCATTTCTTTGAAAGTATTGAAACATCGGTGTGGAGCATCCTTCATGTCCATACAAACATCTGCATCTTCTGAATTCCAACTCTCCTCTTCTTCAGCAGGTTTGAACAAAGCTCTAATCGGTGATCTTTTTTTATGGGGTGATGAAACTTTAGCAGGTAGTTTCTCTTTTGGATTATTACTAATAACATCAGTCTGACAATCCATAAGAGACCATTTAGACCACTGTTTGGTTGATTCTACTGGTGGATTTACTGGTATTATGGCTGACTTTGGAGGTGACCTGGAAAAAAAACCAAATGTATTGTAATTTTCAAGATAAGCTCAATAGTTACACCCAATGATTTTACAAATTCTTCAAGTTCTATTTCAATTTGCATTTAATTTGTTGATTGCAATCACTGAAATGAATCAAGATTAGCACTCTGTCTGTTTTGTTTTCTTTTTAGAAAGATCAGCCCCTCTTTTTTCAAGCAAGCTCCTCCTGTCTGCAAAACTTACAGATATTGAATTAATGAAACCTAGTGCTCAGAGCATTCATCTTTAGTGACTGGAACACAGAAATTAAAGACTTACTTGTCCCGTCTGTTATTATTGTTATAATCTAATGGTTTCTTGTTACCGGTGGTAGAATTATGAGGAAGCTGTACCCACTCAGCTAACTGTTGACTCTCCATTGTTAATCTGTTAACTAGTAATTCTGCTGTCAGATCATCATCAGGAGTATAATACTTGGAATTTATACTGAAAATAGGAATACCGTACTTCAATCTAGGCTTAATCTTACTTGTACATGATATCTATTATACAAACCTGTTTTGCTTCTATACAGTTGGATAAAATTTGATTTGAAAAGCATGTGATCATGAAACAAATTGCATTTTTCAAACTTTGTTCTTATACCTTGACTGCAATAGTCACCTTTCTTGTATCATGGAAGTTAGTAAATTAAACGATCTGATTGGATTGTATGCTAGGGAATACAGCCAATCAGAGGCCTTGACAGAAAATCTATGAACAATATGTAGACAGCCTCTCTGTCAAGGGTTCTAATTAGCTATATTTGCTGGTGTACAATCCAAGGAAACTCGTTGCATTCTGTGATACAAGTGGCTGTTGCAGTCAAGGTATAAGCAGGAAGTTTGTAATAGCTTGACATTGTGAAGATGCATTATTCTAAAATTCAAACCTTCTAAATTCTGATTCTTCCTCAGCTGTTCTTTTACTCATTTCCAAAGCTTTCCGTATCATTTCCTCTTCTTCATTGGCTGATTTTGGAATCAAAGTTTGTAGTTGTTGTTGTTTTCTCTCACGTTCAGACCATACATTACCAGTACTACCAAATCTACTGGGAGGTTTCACTTGGGGCCATATTGTATCATCATTAGGATTCAGATTAAACTCACTAGGAACAGCTGAAAAACAAAGATTACAACTGTGATATTGTTATTGCTCAGACTTGAAATGAAATGAAATGAATGGAGTTTTACATCCTACTTTTCTGCACTGTGTGGGCTTATGATGACAGAAAACACCATGCAGGGTGCAATAAGGGAATTTTTGCCAGGACAGCGGCATTAGCCTGCTCTTTTCAATTTGCAACTGTCTAGGGATCTTTAGAAGGGTATGCTTACCAGATACCACTTTTCATTATGAAATACTTACTCACTTGATTAATATAAGCTTACTTCCTCATTTGAGAAACAGCTGCTACCAATGTATCACCAGGGTGTTGTTTTGCATTTCAGGTTTCTTTTTACGGTTTGGATCGTTAGTGCTTGGTTTATTTATTGCTAGTGTTCGTAAATTCACATGAATTCATAAAAATTTTGATACCTACTTCCCCATGTCTTCTTAGGATGTTTTTGAACAAGTCCTTGACCACCAACCGGTATCTTTACTTTTGTATTGATTCTCTTTTCTCTTGATGATTTCACTTTCTTATTCATACTGAAAATAAGAAATTTTTACCATGGCAAAATCTTGCCATTTTCGTATATTTCTAGTAAATCATGCGATTTTTGTATATTTCTAGTAAATCATGCGATTTTTGTATATTTCTAGTAAATCATGCGATTTTTGTATATTTCTAGTACTTCTAGTATTTACCTATTTTTAAGACCCAAAATGGCGCATCTGTCCAGTTAAAGAAATTGTTTCCATTAGAACATAAAAAATTATTTTCAGTTTCGAGAGGACACAAAACAGTTTTGTTTTTAAGTAGCTGATATTTTTATGCGTTACTTATTGCAAAATTACAGAATTAAAGCTGCTATCAGAATAATTGAATATAATTCGTAATTCGGCTTGGTTTATTGACTCATCTCAATGCTTTGACACTATTTTCATGTTGGCCATATCAGACTTGACATATTGCTTGGTCTGTCTTACAATCACTTACCTTACTGATTGTAATTCATTAATCTCTTCTTGGTTTCTTTTTCTTTCCTTTTCTTGCTGCTTTCTTAAAAATTCTTCTTTATTCTTGGCTGGGTCTGTTC